AAATGATTAATTTAGTTAGATTTGTGGAAATAAAATTGTCTTATCGTACAAAAAATAAATAAATAAAATTACGACCCCTCTAGGGGTCACGGACCCACTTTTAAAGACCTCTGGCCCAGGGGTCAAGCCTCTTGAGAATGACTGTCACACTGTGAGTCTTAAACCTTCTGTGAACTACAGAGCTGTTCTCTGTGATAAAAGGATTTTCCCGTTAGTTATTATTGTATTTATCAGCATTGATGTTCACATCTGAAAGCAAAGCTTGTCACAGACCTTAATGAATTTTCAAAAAAAAAAAAAAAAAAGCCAGCCACCCACACAGAACTTAATTTTCTCTCAGTGCCTTCGAGGCTTCCGTTCTTATTGTTTTTCTTTGAATTTCTCTCTCTTTTTCTCTCTTTTTTAGTCTTGCAACACGTTCGCAAACGATTACAGGTGTCTGATCAGGAATTCTCCGTGGGTTTATGATTTTTATTGACAACAGTGTAGGAAAAAAAAAACCCCAACCTGCTGCGGTCATAAAAGTGCGAATAAACCCATAAAACATAAACCCTCAGGCAAATATTTCTTTAATTATTTTTGATAAACAGAAAGAGTAGCAATAATAACACACTTCTGTAGCACTGAGCTCTTATTTTTTACAGCTGACATCGACGTTTATGTCAGAATAAACAGAGAGAAAAGTCAAAAACTTGACTGTGATTAACAGAGTAGTAGGAAATTACAGAGTGATATATGCCCAAGGTAAAGGGCGGGGCCCTGGGAGGGCCAATGGCTGTTGATGGACATGGTCATTTTTATGGGCATTTTCAGATATGCAATTCAGTAGAAATTACAGTGTTTTAATGAAGTTCAGTGGAGATTTGAAGCAACGGCTGTAATAGTGTTGGTGTGAGGGGATCTGCAGACGTCCTCTCCAAAAGAGGGGGGGCGCTGTATGAAACTTTCTATAGTCACATACACTCCATCGGGTGACTCATCTGTACCTCCTACACAAGAATACTGCAAAGGACTTGGGATACTGAAATACTGAAACAGTCATCACTGTGCAAATACCTGTATCGCAGTATTACTCAATCCAGTCAGGTACAAAGAGGTCGCAGAATGTTGCAGCATCGGCTTTGAAAACAATCACACCCTTAATAAATTGGTCGTTATCTGTATTTTGCTGTACTTTATACACAAACCCAGGTTCAGTACATGTATTCTTTGTACAAATACATGTCATTTAAGGTGTGACCCGTGTGTTGACATGGCTGTGTCTGATGATAAACACGTAAATCAACTGTGTCTGTGTTTAAAAACGGCCAATGACATGATGACGATTCACCATCAAAACAGTAGAAAACACGAGCTTTCGGACAATGTGACAAATAAAAACGTGTCGGTCGTGTCCATGCCATCACTCTGACCCAGTTTGACGTCTCATTTGAACAAAGGGACACAAACCCCCCGCAGAAAAGAACAAAGACGCAAAAGACTTTCCATATAAATGTGGAGTGGAAAAAACACTAAAAAAACACTGGGAGAGTGAACAGATGTGTCGGGGCCAGAGATGACACCATGTTGTTTGTCTTAAAAAAAAAAGAAGCCACATGTGTCTGATGTTAGGGACATGTAAAATGTCTCTGGTCACTGCAGCAGCGTCTTGTGGTACTGAGGCTGCTGCTGCTGCTGCTGCTGCCTGGTTCTAGTGGTTTCTTGTTTCCTGCTGCTGTTGTCAGCAGTGTCACTCCTGCCACCTTCTGGAGCTCTGAGGGATGAATGGACGGAAAAATCCACAGACTCCACCAGCCCTTTTGTTTGTGTTCAACACCACTCACACCTCAAAGAAGTGAATACAAATGACTCCGTTTGTTTGACTGCAGTGTTTGCTTTGCTGAAATCCAACCACGGACTCAGTTTTCTGTGGAAACCTGTGAGCAGGGAATAGGACAGGAGATTAAAGTGTAGACCTAACGACCGGTGACACGCTGTCGGTGAGAATGAAAGCAAGTCTTTAGAAGTGTGCGAAAATAAGGCGAGGAAACATAAGTACCTCGGAGGGCCGCAGCTTTCGCCCACCTTTCAGGACTCGACGTGACCACGATCTGCTGTCCAAACACGCTCAGAGCAGCTCTGAACATTTTAGAGGTCAGCACAAGTTTATGGAGGATTGTGGGAAATGCATGTGTAAGTTCAAAAAGTTCAAATGTTATTTGGGAAAATTTAACCACAAATGTCATAAAAAAATTTCACTAAATATGAGAATATTAAATCCTTTCAACAGAATGGTGACAGTACAGCAGGCGAAAATAAAAAAATAAAAAATCTTAAATTCAAGATTTTCATAGAACTGACCAATAGGGTTATCCATCAGTGATAACCAGATCCATGGTTCAGTATGTAGCATTAGCTGTAGCAAAACTTAAAACTGGTGTTAGAGTGGAAAAGATCTCTGGTTTTTTGATCTGAATTTATTTTTGTTTTGTTGGTTCGTGGGATTCCTTTCGGAATGACCTACATTCCAGAGCCAGGAATTCTGTCCTAATCACTGCCTTCTTCACATCCTAGGCATCTCAGTGCAGGTTAGCAGTAGTAAGCCAAGTGATCGTGATCCAATTTGATCCTCATTCCAATTCCCCGTTGAAAGCCACCCAGTCAGTCCAGCAGAGCCTCCAAACCTCAAGGTTTATATGAACAAGCTTTACTCTGAATGGGAACCCAGGAACTGGGCCGCCTCAGGAAAACAGCTTCAGGGCCAGGAGACCAAGACAGGAGACCAGATTGAGAGGTTGAACCCAAATTGTTAGCAAATGTATAGCCTCTGCTTTTTCCAGCTACAGTACGCTGCTACACGGCGCAGACACGGCTCAGCTCGGAAATAATATTTAAACAGCATAGATGCAAATCTGTTAGCTTAAACAAGTAAAGCTAGGAGAGTTTTCGCAGATCTGGTTCCACTGTCGGGACCCATGAGGACAGAAGACGAGACGTCAAACTCTGTGTTTACTGATGCAAATCTAGACGCTGACAGTGTCAACGTATTCTCATTTAGAAGTAGATCCTTGGAAATAGAGATACCTTTTGTTTGAAAAAAGAAAAATCAGATTTAGATGAACATTTTTCAGTACAATGTGACATGGAGATGGATTGGCAGCTGGGTTGACCAATAGGAGCCTCAGTGCAAGTAATGTGTACTGTAATTTGCAGCCAGTTCATTTCACTTCACCTTCTTGTGAATTAGCTCACAATCTTTTTTCAATCGTTTTCATTGGAAGATGAGGTGAAACTACTGACTGCACCATGGTTCAGTGCTTCACATTATGACAAAATGGTGTCATCAAATTTCTTCTACATGGTCTAAGGCCTGAAACCCTGAAGAAAGAGTTCCAAACCCACACTGCGGTAGAAAGCGCCGGCGTCTACATGAGCGTGAAACCGAGCTGCCTGAGTCATGTGAGCAAATTGAAAAATGCACCTTGTGGTAATGTAAGATCATTTACCTTGATAGAATAGTAACTCTTGTCGGCCATTGTGCGAAAAGCATTTGCACTAAATTTAAGATCAGCGGCTGCGAGGTGCTTAGACGGAGGCTACATCACTTTTCTCCCACCGCTAAAGTGTCTGAAAGACGACTTTGTCCGTCTCATTTTCATTTAAACGACACAGTCGAGAGCTGTTTTCCCACAGCCCAACAGGCTCAATAAAAGCCAATGATCTGATGCAAAGAGGAAAAGCCTCGTTGTTGTCTTATACAAACAGCATATGGTTTTCTCAGCGTGGCTGCACAGGACGGCAATCCTTCGACTTAATTTGCTCCTCTGTATCCACTTGTCCTCTAACCATCTGGGCAATTATGAAGTTGCACACTCTCCAAGTTTCTTCAGTAAATACTTTACAAGGGCCTGAATTAACTACATCCGGAGTCTCACAGATGCATACAATAATGAAAACAATAATTTTTTAAAATGAAAACAGTTCGGAATAAAGAATCATCTTCTGTAAGGATTGTGGGGATTTTGTCTCCTGTTACAAACTGCTGCCAATGAGTATATATTATTCTAAAAACGTTTCTTGGTCTTCAACAGACAGTTAGTGGACGGTGGACGTGCTCTAAAAAAAGTTTCTTGGTCTTCAACATGCAGATTATGACCCCAATGGTGTCATGTAGTTAGTGGACAGTGGACGTGCTATCTTTGTTTGACTAGAGATTTTCAATTTATTTATACATCTTTTTTAACCCTCATAATTTCAAACATTGCATCTTGTTCTGATTCTCTTTCTTAAGTATTTAAGTATCTTAAGTATAAATTATCAATAGCTTCTGTGATACACAGTTAGTGTAACTTCAGGCTAAACCATTACCACAACAACAACTGCATGAAATTGACCTTTAGTAAAAAATTAATTTGGGGTCAGATTGGCCTCAAGGACACTACAGGGGCTGAGTTAAAAAAAAATATATATATACTGTATGTATCGCTTCACCAGTATTGTGGTCCTTGGCCTGAAAAGCCCTTACTTAAATAATAGTTTTCCTCCAGGTGCTCTGCAGTCTGTTTTTTAAGTGTTTATTTGAACTCTTTGCATCTCTGAATATTTTTTCTTAGTATTAACCAAACTCGTTGCTTTAACTCTGGTATTTATCTTTTTTTTTTTTTTGTCTTGATTTGACTCGACTTTGGGTCTCAGTCAGGGTTTTTATTCAAAAAGAACTTCCCTCCAAAGCTTGAATAGATGAAGGAGCAGAAAAAAAGAGGCACGGATCAGCAGCCAGGCATGTAGCTGTCAAGATGTTGCAGATGTTTCAGAAGATATGTCCTTCCCCGAGGCGGTGTGAAATTAATGGTGCTATTATAAACACCTGTCACACAGCCCAGATCCAACAAAACACAAGGGCTTCCAAACACTCTGGGTCTGAGCGTCTCTCAGTCTCTTTATTCATTCATTTATTTAAAACATTTTTTTTTTTACTTGTCTCCAGTTTAGGGTCTAAATGAGATTCAAACAGTTCCACCAGTGAATTCTAATGGACAATTGCATATCTTTGATTTTTTTTTTCCCCCTCAATAATCTGACAGTTTTGGCACATTTGTGGTTCCGTGTACTGGTTCTGTGAGGACGTGACATACATCACGGTCTGTGTTGATTTTCTCACACCATTGAGTGAGAGGTCTCGGCTGTTGGGGAGAGTTTCCAGAAAGTCTTATTACTAAGCTGCTTCCACCAACCCACGGTTTATTTGGAATTCAAACACGTTCGAGGATGTTTCTGTCTGTCTTCGTTCCACAGCAGCATTTAAAAACGACGTCAACACGAGCTGCGGGGCCTGTGGTTTACAAAATGACCACCAGGTGGCGGAAGCACACTTGAAAACATTTCTCTTTTGAAACTCTTGTGTGCGTAAATTATTAACAGCACGTTTGATTTATGACCGTCATCTTGCCAGCCGATCGTTTTACAGTTAATTTATGGTTTGTGAACAGTGACTACTGTCGCTCTTAATGTTCCTCAACACGTGTTGAGATTAAATTGATTTTCTGTGGATTCTTTTTTACTCATGGTATATTTATGCCCTTAAAAAACGGCTTTAGTTTCAGGTTGCACTGCCCTCTACTGGTTACACGTTTTTACTTTTTTATGAGCTGCTCAAAATATATATATTTCTTCTTTTTTTAAAAAAAAATATTGAACACATTTCCAGTCCCCAGATATCTGTTTAAAATATTTTATTTGTCTTGAAAATGTGTGAGGCCCTACACAAGGACATTTGAGACTCAATGTAACTCAAAAATGAAAACTTGTATATGTACAGTATATACATGATCATCACATCTTATTTCCTTATCATATTATCACCAACAAAATACTTTTCTACAGACTGAAAAAGTAACATTTGGTCAGAAATCCAGCGTCAAATTATATCAGTCACTGTCTGATGACTCACTAGAGCTGGACGAAGATGACGACGATGCAGCCGACGAAGATGACGATTTATTTTTTCTGTTCTTTTCTTTTTTCTTGCGTGATTTTCCGGGCTCCTTTTTACTTTTGGTTTTTTTGCTCTTCTTCTTGTGGCCTTTCATTTTCTTCTTTTTCCTCCCTCTACTCTCCTCATCCTCATCGGACGAGGAGCTGGACCTGCTCTGTTTCTTCCTCTTCTTCCTGGTTTCCTCCTCACTCGATGAAGCAGATCTGAAAAGTTAATACCATAGGTAACAAATGGATATAATGAACAATTGAAGGAAAACCCGATCTCAGGTCAGCGACTTATGACCTTACGACAACACATATATTGGATCTTGTAGATAAAGTAGAACAAATTACCTCTTTCTGGACTTTCTGTGTCTTTCCTTCTTTTGTTTCTGCCTCGCTTTTCTATAACCATCATCATCAGAGGAAGAAGAACCTACAAAGACATGACATTTAAGACATTCAAGTCTGTTAAAGACACATTTCGCTGGACTGCATTTTCTTACGTCTTCGCTGCGGTCCACTCCGCCCCTGTTTCTCACTGTGCTGAGCTGTAGGCATTTCATCTTCACTCTCTTCTGTGCTGGTGCTGCTTACATCCAGAACAATGTCTTTCTGGGGGTCAACTCTGACAAAGTTCCGACACTCGAATGTTAAATGGCCAGCTGACAGGGGGGAAAAAACAACAACCAAGCAACAGAAAAGTAGTAAATATTTTGTTCTTCTTAAAATTACACTTAAGACTATACAATCACAAGAACAGATTTCAGATCTTACAAGCTGTCAAGTAATCATGCTTACAGCCCTACATTCTAATGCATTTAGCTTAAAATTAATGGTTCATTCAACTTCAGGCTAAAGGAAATAAATTCGAGCTAAAAAAAAAAAGGATCCGTAACAACACGCAGTAGTTTAGACAAAACTTTAAACTTACGATAGCCACATTTTTTACAGCCAGCCCGGATGTTGTCTTTGTTCGGACCTGTAAGGAAACGATAAAACCTGCTTATAATACTGTACACATACGTCTCGAATCACTGTAGTTAAATACATAGAGACACGAAGTAATCAACTTTTTTTAACGAAAGGTAAATGTATTCGTATTTTAGACAGAAAGTGGATCTCTAATTCAGACTTTTTACGGCTTTGTTTTTGTGGAAGTTTTATCTTGACATTACTTTAAAGACCTTGAGTTATTCACGTTGCTCTTCACACTGAGCATTACTGTTAACAAAGAGAAGTTTCTACGTGATAGCACGATTAAAAAAGAAAAATCAGACTTGACTTTTCTATGAAGGTTTATTTAAAGTAAAAAAAAAATCATACAACGCTGTTTACTTCATTGACTTAAATATACGCGTGGTCGATCAGACAAATAAATTCCTTAAGCTAACCTTAACTTAGCGCCACTGTGTCAAACCACAGAATTTTGTGCCATTTCCGGCACGTAAAGTCCAACAGACGAAAACAAGTCTGCAAATATACACGGTAATTCTTAGTTAACTATATTACTGACCTGGAGCAGCCATTATATTTATTACAGCAAATGTGTGAATAGATAAAACAAGACGACCGAGCGGGAAGCAACTCTCAGGTGCTCACTCAAAACAACCTCGGTCGGAAACAACAATAACATTCTGAGCGCGTTCCGTTGTCTTGTTCTATTGTGACTCTTCGCTGTTGAAAAGCTGTGTGACAGGCTTATTATTGCCACCTACTGGTTCATATTATTACGCGTGTAATCAGCGTACCCAACAGCATTTGAAATTAATGTGTTAATAAATATACATTTTGTCTATTGCATACACATACGTGTTGTGCCACAATAAATACAAAAAGTCATAGTTATAGTTATAGTTAGGAAATATCAGCTAAACTAAGGCATGTTTTTTTATTTAATCTATAAACTGTAGTTGGAATAAAATCAAAAAGTCAGGCCTTTTATTTAACATGTTTTTAAAGTTTGTTAATACAGTCAAACTAACACAAACGGGTAAAATAAGGAATTATATGAAATAAACACATGAATATATTCAATATATACAGTATATAATAATATCTAAGGATACAGACACACTGTGACTTAAACAAAAACAAGGGTGGATGGTAGAGGACAGGGTTGTTGTTGTTAAGCAGAAACCCCTGAGGACATTTTGTATTCCAAAATCTAATTCTGTAAAGTCAAATGTAAAGTTTGAAATTGGTAAATGATGGTAAAAGATGTATAACCTGTACTTCACGTAACCTGCAGAGGGCAGAGTTGTCTTAAACCAAAGGTTCTGTTTCTTCAGACTGCTGCTCTGTTCCCATTCAATGTCACAGCAAACAATAATGACAAAACAAACATTGACTCCCACCTTGGGTGTCAGTCATTATAACAGGCTGTAGGTCTTGGTAATATACGTGTTTAGACATATGGACTCTGGACTTTTTTGTAAGAACTCAGAAGCATTCTAGCTAAAGATTAGCCTTAACCCCCCCGGCCCCCACCGCAGCATCTTCAAAGTTTATTATTATTATTTATTTATTTAGGTTAAGTTCCTGTCGAATTTTCCTCATCCTTGAATAATTCCATGCATCAACTGACAGTTTTGAGGTTTTTCTGTGTAGCGTCAGTTGTGGTTAAAGTTATAGGGGTTAATTGTAGGGTGCCAGGGTTATACTGGTAGATGGGGAAAAAAAGTCCACAGATGTGTGGCCCCCCCAGACATGTTCTCACCACCGAGAGCGTGGCACATATAGAAACACACAAAATATTGTCATTATCTTCACACATCATAACTGTAAGAAAGAGAGAGAGAGAGAGACAGAGAGAGAGAGCGACTGTCTTAAACTTACAATGCCACACCATTACTGACGTAGACACAAAACCATCAAATCACTTGTTTCTGCAGTGGAAACATTTCTCAACCAGTACAACACTTTACAAGTCACTCACAGTTGCCAGAATGTATACTTATATTAGTCATTTGTCTGTCCACACAGCAGCACTGGGGAGAAAAACATGAGGGTACAGGACCTCCACCACAGAGTCTCTGAATATAGTACTATTCCAGATGTGCTTTTACAAGTATTTTATATTTTTTCCACACACACACACACACACACATACGTGTCGATGTCCAATGTAAGCAAAGCTCTAACCTGTTCATTCAGACCAGACACACGCGTTGTTCAGTGAATTTCCTCGACGGTTCATTTAGGCTCAAAGTCAATTTGTCAACACTGTCAATCTGACGCCTTGAAAGTGGACTTTGAATTATTATTATTTAGATTAAGCGTTAATTAACAGGCAAACGATAAACTTCGTCACTGTGAATAGAGGTCAGTGTTTTATGGCCACACGAACACAACAAGTAGAAGGCCTTATTGTTACTGTTAGCTGCTGAGTGGCAGGTTCAAAAACCAACCATAAAACACTCAACCTCAGCAGTTTTCATGTTGCAAAAATATTCAATCCATCATGGCTGCAGTGTTCGGTGTGTATTTGGCTTCATGTTCCAGTTGTAGCAGAAATATATGTCCAAATATACTATGTCTGGTAAAAAAAAAAGAAAAAATCAAAATGATGTATCTGGAAAATCTATTTAATCTATAAAATCAGGTGTTAGTCTCAAATGGTGTAAATGAGTTACATTTATAGATTTTTTCTTTTTTTTTTTTTGACAGAAGTGACAGACTTTATATTCCACAGAACACATTTTTACTGTAATCTGGTCCTAATGGGTTTTTCTCAGAGGAGAGCAAACCATTACACAATAATTTAAACCAAAACAAATGTTTTAAATAATTAAGTTCTGATGATGAACATTAATTATTATTAATGATCAAACAACAAAACTCCCACAGTTAACAACGTACAAAACTCAATCCCACGTTTCCATCTTTGACATGACCTCATTAATGACTTAAATCTCAATTTCTCAAAACAAAAGCCGAAGCCAGGCCAGAATTGTTTGCCTCAAACGACGTCTCCTGGTTTTCGTTAAAACCGTTTCCCAGCCAAAGTGTGTTTTTGTTGCCCAACTGGAAACTGGTGATCGACGGCAGGATGTTTACAGATGAGGGGCATGTTTTTCTTCCCACAAGAAGGAAAGAAAACATATCTTTTTGTCAGGTTTCACATGGCAAAAAGGAACGCAGTGGATGAAACCACTGAGGTTTTGAGACAATGACAAAATCCAACAAATAAATGCTTTTTAAAAAACAAAGAATTTGTGTGAATTTTGAACACACATTTATGCAAATGAGTTCTCCCATCGCCTTTGTTTGGAGCATGATGGTTAATGAAGGAGTAATTAGTAGTGTAGTGTGAGACTCAGGCTGCATCTCCTTCTATCAGTGTAATCATCATATGGACGCCTTTACAGAGTGAAAACCTTTTGTCGTATCATAATGAAAATACAATTCATTAACACATTGGCACAGACTGTGATTAACACAGAGAAATGAACGAGGTGACACCAGACTGACTGACAGACACTGACAATAACACAACACAGAGAAGTGGAGCGCTTTCATCACGCACAGATTAGCTGTGTCTGCAGTTTCAGCTCCAACGATGGATGTACACACACACACACACACAAGCACAGCAAGAGCGAGACGACAATGTTAACTTTCGCACATTGTTTCCGGCTGATGAGCAAAAAATTTACAAGATATTTATAGATGACGCTGTAGTGAAATACACGGAAATACACAGTACATACTCCACTCTACTTACGATTTGAATACTTAACTTATACTTAATACTTATAACTCATTTAAACATTTTTTTTTGTTTGTTAGTGTTTGGTCCAAAAGTTCCAGGTCATTCTGACAGATTACACCTTCTAGTTGAAGACATCTTCCCCTCCTCTCCTGCTCTCCCCATTTAATGTTTCTTTTCTGTAATATCCCTTTTAAATATCAAAAATTAAGACCAAATCAAAAGTTACAGATCCATCATAGGTTGTGACACATCTTGAACTGCTTTGTTAGGGCAGTGCTGGAGAAAGAAAATGTTCATAATTCACACACACTTACTGAAGCTCTTTTCTCCACAACTTCCTTGGTTATAATTTTGTTCTGTTTCATGCAATTTTCCATAATCTTCTCCGCAACAGCACAGGCCGTTCCTTCTCCTCAACCTGTTTCCTGATTGGCCACAGTCACGCACACAACAGATCCTACAACATCAAGAAAAAATGTGAACGAAAAATGATTTAAAGCCATCCTTGGCCCTCTTGGTTAAAAATGTAAAAAATTTTTATTCCATAAACCATGGAAATAATAATCAAATGTGCAACTCAAAATCATTACGCCCTCTGCTGGAAACGTACGTTTATGTTTTGTATAATTTTCCTTCACGTCTTCAGCAGACAAGCATTCATTAGTCAGCACAAAACGCGTCATTACAATTAAAGCGGGGCTGTTCAACCTCAGAATACCGTCTTCAAACTCATTTCCACTGATGACAGAGGGCACTGCCTCGCTCCTGCCCACTTTGCGGTGAGCACTGCTCTTCCAGCAGCCCACATACTGTATGTACTGTATACTTTATGATCTTTATTGGAAGAGTTTGCCAGTGGGTCGAAGAGGTGGTCTTTTATCTAAGGACTTAGATGTGTGATCCCAGGTGTGTTCCTTTCTGTTTCTGGGAAAGAGCGTTTAACCTCCTACTGCTGGTCCCAACTTCAAATCACTGAGGACGGTTGTATTAAGAAAGACAGCAGGTGTGAAAACCCCTAACTGTCTCTAATGTGCACTTTTTCATCATGAACAAAAATGATCAGTCCAAGGAGTTTCTTCTCTTCTGGAACTGGAGTCTGTCTCTAATGTGCACTTTTTCATCATTAACAAAAATGATCAGTCTAAGTATTTTTTTTTCTCTTTTGGAATTGGATGTTTGTTTTTTTTTCTCACTCCGTGAACTTTAACTGTACCGGTAGTGCGTGCAGTTCACTGAGTGCATGTGTGGTCCCCACGACCTGTCAGTGTCCAGATATGTCAGTAATCCATGCATCACTGTGTAAACCGATTGCTCAGTTTGTTGAAGTAAATGGATAGTTTTATATAAAATGAGCGGTCCATCTTCCAGCCGTCCTCTTTGCACCGCTGACAGTCTCTGTCTGGCCGGCACCTGGCGGACACCGAGGACACTGCTGAGGATGTTTTTGGACACAGGCCTGCCCAGGAAAATAAACCCACGTCTGACCTCAAGCGCCAGTCCTGAAGTCTCCTGGCCCAGACCACCTGACACCCACAGGCATTAGCATCACGCCTGGGTGGCCATGCAGAGAAAGGAAAGAAACCCTCTTTGGCCTCATTTCAAACAGGATAACAAGTTGATTTATTTTGAATGATATGCTACCGACCCGGTTGCTCTTCCTTCTCTTCCTCTGCCTTCCTCCCTATTCCCCTCATGGCACTCCTGCTCTCTTGGCCGGAATCCTCCTGTGTGAATGTAAAGGATTTTGTGATAATGGTTCTCTGATGTGGAAGAGCTTGAGAAAGAAGCCAAGAGTCAGTGAGAGTTTCTCCCACTTTAACCTGCTCAACCATCCTGAGTATGTTGGAACAGATTTCCATTTGCCTCTGATTTTCCCGTCCACACGTCGACCTCAGAACGTCAGCTCTGTTTTCACATTCTTGTCTGTGGAGACACTGTACGCACTTGTTTGTCTCTCAACCTTGTGATTACTACGAAACCAAGTTGGACTTGTCCTTTTTGTGCAAAGTTCAAACCTGTGATCTGATGACGGACGAGTGTCCGTCACAGAGAGAAACAAACACTTAAAGATGATTCACAGTGAGGGAAAAAAAAATCTGACCGTTTCTGTGTGAGATGTGGTCAAACTAGTGTGCATCATCCTCCTGCTCTGTTCTTCTCTCAGACAACGGGTTCAGTCACGAATCATAAATGGTTTTAGCTGGAGTTTTTTTTCTTCACTTGATGACTGGATGATGCAACACTTGGATATCAACCCTGTAGAGATCTGATTCCAGCAGAAGCTACAAAAGAGGAGCGAAGAACGTGACGTACATTTGAGACAATAATACTCCGGCAGCTCTGGAGGCTTTTTTTTATTTGATCACAGTTAAAATGAGCGTTGATAGGTTCGGTTCTCGTCACTGGATGTGGCGGCACAGGTGAGTCAGAATCCTCTGTGTTTGATGTTGGCTGAGAAATCGAGAAGCAGGCTGAGGATTATAGCAGTGGCCTTGAGCAGAGACTTGATGTGGTCACATTGTGCCCATGAAAGCATTTTTTTTATGACTTGATGTCAAAAGCAATACTTTCTTCCGTACATGCGGTGAGAACACGGAGCCGCGGGGCTGATATGAGTTTACTGCAATTGACTTTTTTTTACCTTGTCATAACTCCTGGGTCTGAAGTCAGTCATAACAAGTCATGCACAATTATAACAGAGTGAAACACACACAGTGCTTCCCCCTGCCCCTCATACTATGATTAGCTTTTACACATATATTACATATATATATATATATATATTCATGGTCCTAATTCTCCTCCTAACCCCAAACTAAATTTAAATCCTAAAAAATATTCTTTCACTTACTGAGACCTGCAAACATATATGTATGTCCCCACAACAACGTTTCACAAAAAAATGTCCCCACAAGTATAGCTATACCAGAAACATACACACACACTGCAAACCCAATTAGGATAAACTCCGTATCTTATTTATGAGTCTAATTAAAACCTCAGAAGGCCACTTCTCAGAGCTAGCAGACTGTTTGATGTTGAGGTCGCAGTCTCTTGTCGAATCAGTGCCTCAGACCAGGACGTGGGTCTCTCACCATTTCTTTCTTAATTGTCCCCCAATTGAGCGCCGCAGCAGCAGTAAACCCTTTTTTATGACCGTCCCTCCAACTGCTGGGACGGGGGATCTCGGCCCCTGACATATGTCATAAAAAGGCCTTGCATCATTAAATTCCCTCCTTAAACTGATCTGAATATATTTTTCATGTGTTCTGTTGATGTCATTCTGAAACTTGTGCCCCAGCGATAGAGATTCACATTTACGTTGAGCCCAAAACAGAACATAATCATCATTCCAGACTTTGTTCCACTGTGCTGCCTCTGACATCTGACATCACCCTGTCCATGTCCATGTCCCCGTCCCTGTCCTCTTTCCAAACTGAACGTCTCATACTGTCCTTTTTTAGGGTAATATTTCTGAGGTAGATGTTCTGATTTAGGAGAGAAAAAGTCTGATTTTCAAAACTAAAATGTGAGCAGTTAAAAATCTGAACAAGCATCCAGTTTTTAACTAAACCTACTGTATATCTAAAAATATTTAAACTTTGCTCTGCCTCCATTAGAATTTGTATTCCTTTTCCCAAAAATGAAGGCGAATGAGAAAGAAACCTATTTTCTCTTCTTAGACGGTGCAAAGAAGCAGGATGTCACCTTCCGCAGAAGGAGGAATTTTTTCCAAAGGAAACGTGGTTTGGAGACGTGTTTAAACACAAATTGAGCATATTTTTTTAAATACCGTAGCTGAGCTTCTAAATGGTGGAGGGTGGTGGTAAAAGTGTGACATATACAGAGATACAGTTTGTGTCTAGGTTCATGTTTATTTTCAATATCTTAAAAAAGATCCGTCTCTGGTTCCGTTAAAATCAAACATATTCTGCAGAGAAAGTCATAAAAGGTTTTATGATTTTGAAAGTTCAGTAATAGTGTACAGTTCAGAGGTACAATATAAGGCAGGGGGCGCTAAATCTTCATCTTCAAAAAAATAATACAATATAAGGCAGGGGGCGCTAAATCTTCATTAAAAATAATACTATTATTATATTTGTAAACTATGAATTATTACAGGTAAAAGATTGGCCTACACTATGACTCTGATGTAGGTTTTGACTTTAACATATTTGTAAACTATGAATTATTACAGGTGAAAGATTGGCCTACACTATGACTTTAACTTTCTTCTGATGAAGTCATTGTCATGGTGTGGATCAGTGTCATCCTCCAGTATGATCATCATTGTCATGTTCAACGAGAAAAACAAACGAGAAAACAATGTCCCATAAAACGTACTCTCTAATCAGTGTTGTAGAAAGATTTTATTTTTATCTGGAACTTTTGTAAATTGTAATTCATCCATTCTTTATTTTCTTTATGATAATTGTTCTGCGTTGCTTTACCGAAGTTGATCCGTCTAAAATCCCAGAGGAATTATCCCGTGATCCGTTTCATGCCACCATATAATCAACACTCAAAGATGATGATGATGATGATGATCCACGCTGAGCACCGTCAGGACCAGTCACTAGGTGTTTACACTTGCCTCGATGTGAACTAATGTAACTTTCCCACCATAAGTCGCACTTTCTCTCTGAAGCAAACCCATAACAAATGGACAGACAGTTGTGTCTCCACAAGTTTTCCCAGCGGTATTTCCACTTCATGTGGTGTGGGCTACATCATGTGAGGCCTCCCTCCCCTAAAATTGCTGCTATGATTTTATTGCAGTCTTGATTAGGCACATGTGACTAACTGTTGGCTATGGATGGATGAGTGGTTGGTGAAAAAGGAAAGGTCTTCCAGAGACCCCGCTGGTAATGAGATTCAGTTTGTTGTTAAAACGTTAAACTAAGATTAGGATAAAAGCGAGCGCAGGTACAGTTGGTTTCAATAGAGTTGTTATGGAAATTCTGTGAATGAGGGGGAGTGGGACTTAGTCTTCAAGAGGGGGCGCTGTAGAAAAGCCAGACTTTCAGTTTACTGTACCTGTTAAGTGACTATATCTGCAGAGAAAAGAAAACTTTTTTATATGATGCTGCTTTTCACAAACGTAAATTCTCAAAGTCTCCTTAAGGCTCCAGTGGTAATGAGATTCATCCCCCAAAGTTCACAAAGCGGAAACTGTTCTCCGGGAATTTTATTCTTCCTGTCGTTCGGAGCACTGTTGGCTCAACTCGCCGTATTTCACACATTAACTGTTGTGTTCGCGGAGAGACGTTTTTATTCTGCAGGCTGTCTCCACTACCTCACAGTAGAAAAATGCCATCCCTGCTTCACATGCCACAGAAAAACAGCCAAGTTCAATTGGTAGGAAAAGAAAAAAAATATTTAGGTCTTTAAATGCAAAAAGGAATTTGATGGGGGCGCAAGGCAGGGGTGGAAATGTGACCATTTTCCTGCCATGAAAAGCAAAATTTTCACGAATGAATTTGCGCCTGGTTCACTTTCTTCCCGTGGATTGTTTTTCCAGCGATTAGAGGAAGAAATGGAAAGAGTCAGGGTTATGATGTGTGTGTGTCGTGGATGCCAACGTAAATTGAACAGCCATTTTTCCTGTAGAATGGGCTCCTGTGTTAAAAGGCCCATTATTCACTGACCACATCAAAGGAACGTTACATTTCAATCTTGCTCACTTCAGGGAAAAGCAGCAGAGTCATAAATCTACAGCAACAAATGGCGGTGGGCTCGCATGTGTTCAGGATCTAAAATGGGTAGAGGGGCTGTGATGCTACAGAGCTCTTGTGTGGTCTTTCCCTGTGTGTTTCTCCCCCAGCGGCTTCTTCCTCCTCTTACATTCTCTCTTCCCTCTTTTGTGGCTCTGAGCCTATGAGCTGTCGTGGGCCCTTCCTCACTACACACCCAGCAGGGCTTTAAAAAGGAAGGTCTTAGCAGACACACAGACTCTCCGCCTGTGCCTTTGCCTGTTGGTCTCGGTGTGCAGCTACGACAAAGTTGCTTGGATTAGCGATGCAGACGCCACCGCGCTGGGCCCCCAACCTCCTGCTCATCCTCCTGAGCCCTGTCCTGCTTGCTGTTGGAGGGGCCGCGGTGGAGAGCCAAGGTGAGGAGATGACACATTATTGCTGCCTGTGGCTGGGATATTAGTAGCACTTTGTGGGCAGACAAACGGACGCGCAGTGGGTGTTTAAGCAGGTAACCTCAGCCTGCATGGAAAAGTGTGAGTGTGTGCGCAGACAGTGTTTAGGGATGTCTGCTGCGGTGCTCCATCAGCGCCAGCTCAGGTGTGTAGTTGTGATGGAGAAACAGCCAGTGGTGATGCACAAAAGCTGGGGTGGATTATATTTTTGCCCGTGTCAGCTTGTTTATGCAAAATGTGGGAATGACTGTTTGTATTTCCATTGGCTGGAGGACCGGCGCTCTTTGACTTCCTACACTGTGAGCCTCAGTGGAATATGAAAACTTATTTTGTTACTTTTTGACACTTTTGCAGAAGGTGTTTCCTTCCCACCTAGAGCCAAAGTGTCAGAGGAAGTCAGAGATGCCTGATCTCGCAGACGCCCACTGACCTCATGAATTCACTCAAACACACTCAGCTGCACGGCAGCTTAAGAGTTCAACATGCTACATGCATTTCTGCTGTGTCTTATCAACCCTGATCCACACCTTCTCCTCATGTCCACTTCCATTTAATTTATTCCCTGACTTTCTTTTATTCAGCAGCGCTGCGTGAACTGGAAAAGGATCCATCTTTTTGGGATGCTCAGGCGAGAGCTACACTGGATGCTGCGCTCAAACTCCACCCTCGGAACCACCAAGCCAAGAACATCATCCTGTTCCTCGGAGATGGTAAGTCAAATATAGCAGAGAACACAGTTGGACCTCAGATAGATTCATTTATTTAAAAAAACAAACAAACAAACAAAACAAAACTCTTTGTTAATGTATTTTTTAGGGTATTTTTCATAGTATTATTCTAAAATATGCAGTTCTCCAAAGTCTAGAAGCCATGGGTGAGCACATATCTTAAATTTAATGAAGATTAAATTTACAGTAGATTTCTCTGCATATATACAGACAACATGTGGCTTTCCTTTTTACCCTGCAGGGGGTGCTGTAAAAGCAGTTAAAATAAATTCAGTGTGCTTACACAAGTAAATGCAGTGTGCTTACACAAGATAGTGTATGATTTTCTTTATATGATTCAGCAAAGCAAAAATAAGAACAAACACAACTGTCTGCCTGCGTATTAAACATTTATATTTGACTGACCAGTGGGTTTACAGAAGACCCCTGACCCCTGTATTGATTTCTAGGGCCTATAAAATAATTAATGTATTTAAAATATGAACCAAACTGTTCTCTCAGCTGAGATTTTCCCACTCTTTGAAACTCACTGGAGACATCTGGTTTGGATCCGTAAATATTCCAAACTCAACACAGACAAACAGAGAAAATCCAAGCAGAGGGCAGAGTTGATGCGGATTATTTTGTATCATTCTACTAATCATGTGCATCTTTATGCTTTTACAAAAAGGCATTTGGTTCATTATTAATGTTGTAAAAACATTTATATCCAGATATGTCTGTAAATACTAGCAAATGAAACCTGTGTAAAGCTGATTTAGCAGAACTATAAAGTGTGCTATGGTTGTGCAAATATATATTAATATTAATTCAATTTCATATCTACTTTTTCTGGGTCATCTGCTGAAAATGTCACACTACTTAAGCCATTTTTATACTGCTGCCTTAAAGTGCCCTGCGCTCAGACTTCACTTTCCATTGTATTTCATAGTATGATTATTGGAAGGTCTGATTTACATGTTACAATGAAAACCGACCACTGGTATTCATCAGGTGAACCACTAGAGCGGTCTGGCTTCATTCACTTTAAAAGAACTTGAACGCATCGGGGTGAACTTTTCCATTTGGCTTAGATTTGGAAAATATTTTACACTGACTGTAACTGGTGTATTTATAGCGTGTGTGGCATGCAACTAATTTTTGTAAGTGGAACAGTGAACAGGCATACATCTCCCTCTCTGTTTCTCTCAGTTATCTGCTTTAAATCAATAGATTTTTGCATCCTTTGTGCATCTCTTCTGTCGTGACACGGAGTCTGTTAAAGTTTATGGGGACTTTAATGTTTTTAAAAAAAGTCTTGAATACACTGCGGTGTCCCAGAGTTCTTTAAAGACTTCTAATAACGAGTGGAATGCGTTAGTTATTTGGTGCATGTTTTTCATGCTCTGAAATGCACGTTCAGTGCTTTTGTGGAGTAAAATCTTCTCGCAGCCAAAGCAGTGTCTGTGTTATAATGGTATAAAAGTATAGATGTATAATGTTCTGATTATAATACAGAGTCCTTCACATAGTTGAGCTGCCTGCTGGCCCAGAACAGTCATTGTTTATCTGTGTCTTAAAGTGTGGGTTCACAGAAAACCACCCTCTCTCTAACCTGTCATTTTCAGGATTACTGATGTCCTGGTCATGTGACTGCTCTGTTTACCTGGAAAGTAACTAATCCGACCTCAGTACGCCAGTCAGAATCTGCACTTCGGAAAATACGTTTTCTGGCATAAATCATAATTAATTTGACGACATCATGACATGTGTTTAGATGCCTACTGCGTAGTCGCGTAATTCTTAAAACAGTCTCAAAACACGTGAACATATCACAGACCTTCACCTGTAAATCATTGTCTCCCAGGGATGGGTGTGTCCACTGTGTCAGCAGCTCGAATCCTGCGGGGTCAGATGGAGGGTGGATCAGGGGAGGAGACGGTTCTGGCCATGGACGCCTTCCCTTATGTGGCTCTGTCTAAGGTGAGGACACAACACTGACCTCATTGAAGACTCTATCATATAAAAGTCAGTTTCATCGATTCAATTATTGATTATTGATTTATAAAAAAAATCACTGTTCTTATTATAACAGTTATTTTCCAACAGAGGAAACGGGTCCATGTTTTCTGGTAGTTCTCCCATTGACAAAAACCTGAAGAGAAAAGCTTAGCTCTCTGAATGGGTTCTCCGTCACACATGAAAACATAAAATGTATACACTCTGTGGTCGTTTGGTAAATCACTGTGATGTAACTAATGGAGACAGAGGGAGAAAATAGAGCGTGAAGAAAAGAAAAAAAAATGAAGAGCTGGAGAGAATAAAAAAGAAAGAAAGAAAGGGTTTCATTTCACATTAATCCTCTGGAATAAAGACGAGAGGGTCAGCGCTTCAGCGTGTGTCCAACATTCCAGTATTGTCCCTGTCTCACGTGTACAAACTTGTCTCATACCATCCCTGTCTTTATCTCTGAAAGGAGCCTCGGGGGATTTAGCTAAATAAACACTTTTATGAAAGCGCTGGTAGTTAAAACAGACTCAATAGTCGTACAAACGTTTTATTTCATGACCAGAGACAATTCAGTGTCTCTGGTGTCTCCCTGTTTAAACCTGTAATTAAACTGGATTTTCATTTATCTACTAAAAAATATTATTGGACAGAAATCAATCAAAATCAATGTACAACAACATCATTGCACAGAGTTCAAAATGTTAGGTCTAATTAATGCCTTATCTATGTGAATTAATGTGTGAAATTATTAAATCTATCAAATTTTTTTTAAAGTATGTATTTGATCCCATATGTTGCATGAGGCACAGTGCACATCCCATAATTACACTGTGTTTGATTCATCGTTTTACCTCAAGCTTAAAATACTTTCTCCAGACCCAACAAGAATTTCTAGAGAGCTTCAAAGTAATGTAAGACTGCAGGTAGGTCAGTAGGTCAGTCTACGTCTGACCGACTGATTGACAGCTGTCAAATGGACTGTGAGTGATTGTAGACTGATTACTAAAATTTGAGATGACGGCTTCGCTGAAGATTTGAAAACAACTCTCCACCTGTTGTACAGTCAAGATGCACATGAATGCTATGTTCAGAATGCAGTATTACCTTTGCATAATTTTCTTGCAATTTCCCGTATGATAATTCCATCATTTTGATTAGTCAGAAATAAAAACAGGCGGGATACCCATACATCTACCTGCTTTTATTCTTTAATTTCATATTTTAATCATTTTCCAATATATGAATCTTCACTCTGATATTTTACTACGTGATGTAGTATGATTGTCGTCTCTAACTGTGTCCGTGTGTTTACACCTCACAGACCTACAGCGTGGACAGGCAGGTGGCAGACAGCGCTAGCACAGCTACAGCTTATCACTGCGGGGTCAAGGCCAACGCTAAGACGCTCGGAGTCAGCGCTAAGGCGGTGGCCTACGAGTGTAACACCACCTTTGGTAACGAGGTCTACTCGGTGTTACGACGTGCCAAGGCACAAGGTGAGGACGGTAAAGGTCTTGGTGGAATGATGGTTGTGATGAGCAATGGAAACATGAGCTACATCTCTTATCTAAACAAACGCAAAAGCTGCATCTAAGACGAGATAAATGATGAAATAAAACGATCCACTGATAGAAACGTTTTCTGCTACCTGATTGTTAAAGTGTTGTTAGGATTTTGTTTGCAGAATTGTCCTCATAAAATAATTATGTCTTCTTCACCAGACACTGCAGCAGTCATTTCACGAGGAATGTGTGTGTGTGTGTCGTAATGTTTATCTGTGGATCAAGGCGTGTCTATGACGCCGATAAAAAGGCACGTTTATGTTGATATTACCTGTAATTCCTGTTGTAGACATCAGGGACAGGCGTTAGATTAACTAAGTTTCTATAAACCTTGTTTCACTTCTTCACACCCAACTGCATGAGAGAAGTATCTCAGTTTCCACGTTTATGTTGATATTACCTGTAATTCACCCAACTATATGAGAGAAGTATCTCAGTTTCTCAGTGCATGAAAGCATAACATTTCAGCCTGCCATTATCACTGCAGTATTTGGATAACTGGAGTTCAAGTCGGTAGTTATAGTAATAGACCAGGACACAGTGATGGACTTTAGAAGGCCATTAATAGACCAGGACACAGTGATGGACTTTGGAAGGCCATCGTCGGCTGCAACAGAAATGTGATTTGCAACTGCATGATGCAGAGAGAACCTGCAAATCAAGAGTACCTCAGGTATGAAATTGATCGGATGAAACATTTAAGCTTATTTTGTGGAAAAAATCTAAACCAGATTCTACATTATAAAAGATGACAGTCCAGACTGTTATCAACAAAGTGTGCAAAAGTTCGCACCTGTGTTCATATCAACACATTAGAGAGGCTAACTTTACCTCAAAGCCGTGACTTATTCCAGTAAAGCATGGTGTCTTTCAAACTGAGGCTCGTGGGATCGGTTCTAGACCTGGTATTTCACATGTTGCCATCCCTGGCAGCGTGCTGTTTAATGTGCTTTAAGGAGGTCATTAAGGTCGTTAGCCCGTGCAGAGCTATATGACATCGATCACTACAGTCCTGCAGATTGACTGCAATAAACGACACACAACAACGCGGTGTTTGTCTCTGCTCCAGGTAAATCCGTTGGTATAGTGACAACCACTCGGGTCCAGCACGCCTCCCCGGCTGCTGCCTACGCTCACTCCGTCAGCCGCAGCTGGTACAGTGACACGCACCTCCCCCACAGCGCCCGTGAGCAGGGCTGTGTCGACATCGCCACCCAGTTGGTCACCAACGTTGACATTGATGTATGTAATCCACAATGATTAATGAACTCACCTGGTTCTCACCTGGTGTCACCTACAGATCTGTGTTTTATCATTAGTTTGTTTGTTTACAAGTAGATACGAATAAGTGTTAAAGCATATTGTTATCTAACTTTATAGTGCTTGAAGTAATACTCTGGACTTTATTGATATATGAGTTTAAATAAAAGTGCAACGAGTCCATGTGGACTTTAATCTGGGGGAATCTGGGTTAGACATTACACAGTAGGTCTTGACCGATGGACAAGGACAAGTTAGAAGTGATTTGTGCTTGCATAAGCATCTAATGCTAACAGAGAAATTCTAGCTCATCTACATTAGGTAATATCTTTCCTTTTGAGTCAGGATGAAAATAACATCTTATTATTAGTAGAAAATCTTCCTGTTCTATCAGTATGTCCTCACTGGTCAGTGAGACCTTTTGCATGACACGTGTCTCAATCATGTCTGATCATTTTTTTAAGGTGATCCTCGGGGGAGGAAGGATGTACATGACACCAAAAGGAACTCCAGATCCAGAATATCCTACCTCCAAGTCGTGCAAGGGCGATCGTAGAGACGAGAGGAACCTGATTGACGTGTGGCTGAAGGCTCAACCGGTGAGACACAAAGACCGGACGGTTCTGTCCGTACGTACGGCACTTTATATGAAACATCCCTCGGATTTATGTCAACTTTCCTTTTTTTAAAGGCTAAAAAGTCACAGTACGTCTGGCACAGGAAGGAGTTTGACGAGATCGATGTCGAAACTACTGATCGACTCATGGGTGAGCACTTAATGGACCGGAAACCAGTGGTCTACAAGTGTGTGTGTGTGTGTGTGTGGTGTACACGCTCACTCACACACTCTTATCAAAGTTATGAAACCTTTTGAAGGCTGTGTCACACACTCTTATCAAAGTTATGAAACTTTTTGAAGGCTGTGTATCATCATGGTTTCTGTCGAACTCTTTCATCTTTACGAGCATGAAGAGTCTTCATGATACCGTACAGGTAATCTTTTGATAACCTGTACTGCCCCCATCGTGTGAGACTCATAATAGCAGGGCGGCACCACTGCAGTGGGCACGGTATTCTGCAGCTATATTAATTTAAGCACAATGATGTACTTTTTGCATACATTCCTGCCATATTATTATTTATTTTTATGACATCTGATTGGCTCTTTGTTTTGCACTTGACAGATCCAAACTTTTTTTTATTTTCTTTTTTGTGCTTTTTTCATCAGGTCTGTTTGAGCCAAAAGACATGAAATTTGAGGTTTTCCGGAACAGCACACGAGACCCCTCGATTGTGGAGATGACGGAAAAAGCCATACAAATCCTCAGCAAGAACCCCAAAGGATACTTCTTGTTTGTAGAAGATGAGTATTACTGAGTATCATTTACATGAAGTCTGATTATGTTTGTGACTCTCAGCGTATGGACTGACCTGTGGACCCATTAGATGTGTTTTTATCAGGTCAGTGTAAAAAACACAGGGCAGTCCACTACTGAAATTATTTAATAATCTTTTTTTTATCTTAACGCAGTCTGAGCCCATTTGAGGCCAGGTCTAATTTATGATCCTGCTTCGCTGCAGTACGTGGGAGAATCGATCACGGTCATCACGACGGCATCGCCAAACTGGCTCTGTCTGAAGCGGTGATGTTCGACCAGGCCATTCAGCGAGCAGCACGGATTACCAAGGAATCAGAAACACTGACGGTGGTCACTGCAGATCATTCTCACGTGTTTACCTTTGGAGGAAACACACCACGAGGGAATCCAATTTTTGGTAAGATTTTAATAATAAAAGTTGTCTGAAAAACAGAGCAGTTTTTTTCCCAACTGCCTTGATTTCTTGTTTTAAAACCAGTCCTTTTTATTTTGTTTGGGTTGGAGGTGGGGGTCCCATCACTGACATATCATTAGAGCTTTAGGATTTAAAAATTAGATTTGAGACCAAATGTCCAAATTAAAAAAATAGATATTGGATTCAACAAGCAGCATTATTAGGGATGCACTGATACAGATACCGGTATCAGTATTGGGCCGATACCTTATCACTTCATCACATCGGTTGAAATGGTGATACTCAGCTTAAGACACGTTTTTTTACTGGACAGCAGGAGGTGGTGTTTTCAGGTGTTTTTCAGGTTCTAAAAATTCCTGAAATTAAAATATTTGTCATTCTCCACCGTGACTTTCACTACCATCCAGGTTTGGCACCAAAGAAAGCTGACGACAGAATGCCCTTCACCAGCATCCTCTACGCCAATGGCCCCGGCTACGTCCATGTAAATGGAACCAGAGAAAACATCACGATGGTGGATTACTGTGAGTAAAAGTTAATGCGTTTCAGATGCTGCTCCAGTCTACAGCCGATGTGTATGCAGACAGCATGAACTGATGCGGTTAAGGCTGACTCATGTCTGTGTGTTTTTTTTTCTTGAGAGCAAAGATGAAATATGATGGTCAGGGCACCGTGCTGTCTTCTCCTCCGTCACAGGCCTCACTGTGTACATGGAAATGTAACTTTAGAGCTTATTTGTCTTTCTTTGCTAAACACTGGAAATCAGTAACATGACCAGTTACTAAATAAATACCTCTCAGTTAGGACTGACTGCATTGGTTTCTCCTTGACTTACGGGGAAACAGTAGTGCTTTTTGTTTTTGCTGTTTGTTCATGGATTTCCTTGCTGATTCCACAATAGAGCAAAACTATTTCTTTTTGTTTATTGCAAGAAAATCACAATTTGTTTAACATCTCTGACTTAAGGACATTGTGTTCTCATTTAAACTGTGGGTGTTTGTTCTTTTTTTTTTTTTTGGTATTTTTGTATACAGAGGAAATAAATTAGCAGGCCTGCCACTTTGGTCAGATTTCATGAAATGAAAATGAGACGGCAAATGCTGTAATTTTATCAAATGAACCTAAATTACCTTGAAGGTTTCAACATTTGGTAATTAAGTCAAATTACATGAATTACAGAGAGTTTGCAAAACAGGATTTGATTCGCAAAACAGCCACATAAACGTCCACGCGGAGAATGTACCTTTGAAGCTGATGTGTGGAGCGGAGTAAGTGGCAGAAGTGACAAACAAGGGGGGCTGCACTGCAGTAATGGTTTGTTTGCATGTAATGTCTGCTTTTCAGTTGACGAGGAGTACATGCAGCAGGCGGCCGTCCCGTTGGACACGGAGACTCATGGCGGAGAAGACGTTGCCATCTATGCCAAAGGCCCCATGTCTTACCTGTTCCATGGGGTAAAAGAGCAAAACTATGTGGCTCATGTCATGGCCTACGCTGCCTGTCTGAAGCCTTACACAAACTGTCCCCCGCATCCACACCACAACCACCATCGACGAAATTCAGCTGACGCTGTCAACACTCACCCCTGCTTCCTGTTTGTCACACTCAGCCTCCTCTGGCTGTTGAAATGACCCCAAAACACACAGATATGTCAAAAGTCACAATCCTACAAACGCAGTATATCCATGCGGTAATACAGGGACTTCATGCACTTCCATGTCAAGGCAGCTTGCGAGGATAATATTGCATCCATATACATGGAGTACTATTTACCAGGTGCTTACTGACAAACATATATTGTATGGTGGAAACGAGATATTAATGAAGGCAAACATGAATTCATCGTCATGTTTCTCAAAAAAAACAAAACTAAAAAAACAAAAATATGTCTGATTTACAAAGCTGCCGGCACTTTACTGAGACTTTTCCATCATGACTACTAACATTAACTCATGTTTGAGAAGCATTTGTTTGTTCTAGGTTTGAAACCAGGCTTTTCCTGATATCATCTTCGTCAACTGAAAGGATTGCTAATGTTTTATTTGTGTTCTTGCTGATGTCATCTGCTGCCACTGATACCATTTGACGTTGGGTCTCAATGAAAAGGCAATGGGCTGGAAAGCAGTGTTTTATAGATGGCGCAGCACTTTGGAAAATTGTGTGAGTGAACTCCGACCACAGTCAGGACAGTAAACAGGAAAATTTCTGTCCTTTTATTTTTTCTTTATTTACAGAAGGCTGTTAAAGCCAAAAGGAAACAAATATAAACAAATTTAGTGCACAGTAAACCCAGGCACTGGCACAGAAAGTGAGCAGAGCTTTAACACCAACACCCTGTTTCTCAGCTCAGAGGGTGTAATTTCAACTGTCAGTCTGAACTGAGAAATGGGCCTCAGTTAGGTGTAAAAGCCGCACCCGTCGTCTGCGGCGTTCAACTGAAAGTAGAGGCGAGTCTTCAGGTGTATTATTAAATTGCTTGTGTCGTAACAAAACAAATTTTACAGTAAGTCTCCTGTCTTAGTTCATCTGCGGTGTTAAAACTGCTGAGAATGTTGAGACTTACATAAACTACCCATGAGGGCAAAAAAAAAAAAAAAACTGGGGAAGGAAAACACTTGCTGAATGGAATGAGTATTTCAATATATCAGGTCAGACTCTGATTCTGGTATTAGCATCAACACCTCCTACCTATTCTAAATATCCCTGTGAGTACCATGATCGCTGCAGTATCTGTAACTCACTATTTACAAAATAAACTGAGACTTCCATCAGAATAGTTTTCAACAAACTCGGTGCTCGGTGTCCGTCAGTGGACCATGAATTATGAGCCATCACTCCAACAGATCTTTTAACATACTTTCTTGTTGTGCGATGTGAGTTAAAAAATCTAAAGTACTGTATCTCTGTCAGGGGTAATGACGCTTTTGAACATTTGTCTTTTGGCCTGTTTGAGGTTAAAGCAGTAAAAACTTCTCCAGCTAGGTTGTCGCTTGTCGTCAAGCACGTATATTGAATTATGTTGACTTTGTATATGGATATATTTTGTAAACAAATGGTGTCAATGTATTTTTATACTGTTTTTTATGATGCATATCAATCCAAATTAAAAGAAGACATTTGGTAAGTTTATTGCTTGCTTTTTATTCCTCTAGCAATTGTTACTTACCACCAACAATGGCACAGGGGGAGATTATCTCGCAAATTGCGACTAACCGTTCAAAGGTCAGGACAACCAGTAAAATGTTTAATATACAACCCACACTGTACTCCACACGTGTCAAACTCTGGCCTGCAGTGTAATTATATTTGGCCCGTGAGATCATATTAACTGGTATATAGTCCTGATATACTGGCAGGATTTGTAGTACTATCAGTCTGATATACTGGCAGGATTTGTAGTACTGGTGGTGTATGTGCTATGTCAGGGGTTCTTAAACTGACATAGCACACAATCACGATTGTCGTCAATTTTGGCCCACTGTGAATCTGACTTTGTCACCCCTGCTGAAATACTGAAACAGATGAAAAATAACATTTGGACCTCGGTCTGTCTGAACCACAAGACCAGGCAGCAGAGCCCAGCTGTGGGATTTCTTTTATCCACAGAACCTCACACAAATACGCGGTCACAATCACTTTCTAGTAAAAGTAAAGTAATTGATTTCGGGCGTGGCTGATAAAAGTACTTTGGTTAGAGTACCGCGGGTGAAGAAACAAGGTTTGAGTAACTTCCAAGGTCCACAAAGGAAACAATGGTGGTGAAATAGTAGCTTTTACAGCCGTTTCTTTAAAATGTTTCCTTATTTCAACCTACCTGGAATTACTGGATGATAAAAACAGACCATATATTAATTAGCTCTAGTAAGGATGAATAATTAATAGGTCTTGTGCGCGTCAACACAGCCATCCAACTGTAATGCAGTAACAACAATGCTCAGCTGTTGACACCTGTAAAGTGCTACATAAAGGACATTCAACCTAAACGGGGGTGAAGTCATGTGTGGCAGGTCATTGTGTTAAAAAAACATCAGCTGTGATGGAAGAAAACCGATTCAATTTGTCATTCGATGAGAAATAAAGTCCAACAACAACAAGTTATACTTTAGACGCCTGTGTTTGTGACCGGGAGGACAGACTGGCACGTGTGTGGGTGTGTGTGTGTTCGTGCATGTACGTGCGCGCTCCGTATTCTTATTGCTCTCTCTCATGTGCCCTTTGCACCTTGAATGCAGCTTTTAAAGGACAAATGCCTCTTTTCCCAGCGTTCTCTTTTCAAATCAGCATGGCTCGGCGTCAAAGGCTCCTCGTTATTGGATTATTGATTTTTATTTCAGTGCAATGGACATTGTGTGTTTCAGGTAAGGATTTGTATTTCTGCTCTACTGAGTCGACACTGGAATTTAGTATTAAATCTTTAAAGGTGTATTTTGTCAGGAAGAAAACTGCATACTTTTTTGTTTTAATAATTTTTTTGATCAAACAAGTTGATAATTTTGTTCCTTCTGATAATGTTTTATTAGCCTTACAAGGTCTGTTACTCACTTTACTGTCTGCCTTACAAACCTGAACCAATGAGATATTTGAATATTTGTTGTATACTGAGTCATCTGAGTATCTCTGGGTGGATTTCACCGTTACATGATGTCTATTTTCCTGCTAACAGAAGATGAGCTCCATGCTGATTACTGGAACAACAAAGGGAAGCAGGCTCTTCACTCTGCCCTAAATATTCAACCTAATATCCGCCAGGCCAAGAACCTTATCCTCTTCCTCGGGGATGGTGAGTCTGTGAAAATGAGCCTTACCATCATCCACGGTGTTTCTTTGAATCATGGGTAATTTCCTGATTTTATTCCAGTCCATTTATTCAGGTGAGAGGAAGCCAGTGATGTTTGAAGTGTGGGTGCTGTCACCATGTCGGTTTGGAAACCAAATGCACTGTTGTGGCTTTTAAAGCAATAAATCCTGCCACATATAACACAATGAGCTGAGGTTGAACCGCGGTCTGCATGTTTGCCTCGTTTGTCTCTAACCCAAATGGACCACATAAATTTTTTTTTAAAAAACTCACAAAGCAACGTAATGTTCTGGAAGGTTGATCCAGAATAAGAGGAGCCCTTAAAATGAGCCTGTAAATGTAAAACACAATTTTCTCCTTTCTGAACATATTGACAGTTTCTTGAAGAACACGTTGAGAGTCTCTTTCGAAACTTTGATGAAGACTAACATTATGGTAGTGTACATCAAATTTAACAGCCCTCATAAAGATCTTGTCAGTGTTTCTGGACTGATACGTTAGAGCTAGAATTATGCATTTACTCAGGTGTCAGGACAAACAAATACAATCGTTTAATTATCTATTTTTACCCACACATCTTGGCAGACACACAGTGGCAGAGTGGTAAGTGGTCTTACTTCACAACAAGAAGGGCAGGGGTTTGATCCCTGTAGGTGACTCCTTCTGTACAGCGTTTGCAGATTCTTTTTGCCACAGTCCAGAAACATATTTGATTAGGTTAGACGTTTACCAACTCTACTGTAGGTACATGTATAGGTTTAAATAGAGTGTCCCGGCCCTCACCTTCAAACACTAACATCAGTGGAGCCTACTGAGGTTTCCTCTGAGCAGTGACTCCTCTTGTGTCTTCCTGGCTGACAGTTTCTAACACTCCGATGACTCTTCCACCTGCTTCCAGGTATGGGAGTAACAACAGTGACTGCTGCCCGGATCCTCAAGGGCCAGATGGCTGGACACTCTGGGGAGGAGACCAGTCTGGTCATGGACACCTTTCCTTACCTGGCACTGTCAAAGGTCAGACAACTCATTATCTTTTTTAGTGCAAGCATATCAAAAAGACGTTTAAGTAAATAAAGTCATATATATACATTGTGTTTTTGTGTGTTTGTTCCCTCTAGACTTATAATGTTGACCAGCAGATGCCAGACAGTGCAGGCACAGCCACAGCGTACTTATGTGGCGTCAAGGCTAACTATGGCACCCTGGGTGTCACTGCTGCCACTCCAAGAGAAAACTGCAGCGCCAGCTATGGGAATGAAGTGAAATCTATCCTGTACCGTGCCAAGAAAGCAGGTATTGTTACGTTAGAGAGACTATAGAGAATCTACAGACTTGTTTCAGTTCTGCTTTGTAAGGCAGGACGGCCCTGTGGTTAAACCTGGAGTACATGTTGAACCCTGCAGTAAGAAACACGGAGAATGTGAACATGTAACCTTATCTGTAACAACTTTTTTGGTGATTAGGTCATTTGTCAACCTGAAAGTGTAATAAAAATGGCACTATTAATTATAAATGTTGACAATGTTCTGTTTAAACAGAGTAGATTTGATTTGTTTTGTACTTTTTTCAGGAAAATCTGTAGGAATTGTCACAACAACCCGTGTGCAGCACGCCTCTCCTGCAGCAAGCTACGCCCACTCTGCCGATCGAGATTGGTACTCTGACTCGGACCTCACCCCTGAGGCTGTTGCGAACGGATGCCGGGACATAGCACATCAGCTGATCACCAACGTAGAGATAAATGTAAGAGCATGAAGTCTCCTTACCTGAAAAAGTCCAGACTGAGAATATGACTTCTCAAATATTTTAATAATAATAAAAATACATTTTATTTCATAGACGAAGCTCACATAAACTAAATATCAATCAAAATCAATTCACATACATTTTTTTAATCCAGGTCATTCTAGGAGGAGGGCGTCAATATATGTATGGTAGAGAAACTAAGGATCCAGAGTACCCAGATGAAAGAGGAGACAGAGTAGATGGACGAAATTTGATTGCAGAGTGGATTAAAAATAAAACGGTAAAAATAAATGGTTTTTTAAGTTGTTTTTTAATTCAAAAATTGATAAAGATAAATATTTATTCAATTTCATAAACTATTCGTTTCTTCCAGAGGGTTAAATATGTGTGGAACAAAGCTCAACTTGATGCTGTCAATCCATTGAACACTGACTTCCTGATGGGTAAGGAAAACTGTTTACTTATTAACAGTATTTACAAGAACACTTGCAGTTGATCTCTGTGAAGATATTATCTGGAGAGGTTATTAGGATTTTATGTGTAGCCACAACAAGTTTTATCTTTTACAGATTTAAGGGAACAACTTAGAGTGTATATGACGACTGTGGATTAGGGATTACAGACCTCTAAGATCTGTCAAACAGACTAAAGAAAATTGAACGCATCATATTTGGCACAAACTCTCATGAAGATGACAGTTCAAAGGGTGAATGACCAGCACTCTATGTCATCTGGATTCAAACACTGACACATTTACAGGTTCCCGTCTCACCCTCTAACAAATGTTTGTGGCAATAAGTTATACAAAACAAAATGATTGCCATTTTATTAAAAAGAGAAGAGTATGAATTAATTCATTAAAACAAAGGAATACAAAACTCAGGGACATTTAGCCAATCCTAAGGCAGCCCTAAACCAATCCAAGATTCAATTGCCTCTACCATGTCAAGACATTCACTTCACAGCCTGTGGTTGACCACAGCAGGACAGGTTGTGGTAAGACTGCCCTCTGCTGAGTGCTAGGGTGAACCTCTGTGATCTGATAGGGTTGTACACCTCTGAGGGATTTATAACAGCTTCTGTAGAGGAGGAGAAGAAGAAGAGAACTGTTATTCCCAGTAATTCCCTCATGTTTCTCTTCAAGGTTACTTTTTTTTTTTAAATCTTGTACATGATTGGGAGAATGAATCCATACAAAACAGCAACAACAAAAAATGTTTTTAAGGAATTCCTCCATGCTCTGTGTAAAACTTGTTTCCATTTATACATAAATCTACAAATGAAAAACTCCTGACAGTTTTGGTGTTTCAGTTTATTGTTTAACTATATAATCATTTTGCCTACAGGTCTGTTTGAGCCCAAAGACTGCCGGTACGAGATAGATCGTGATCGTACCACAGACCCGTCTCTCACTGAGATGGTGGAGAAAGCTGTTAAAATTCTTCAAAAAAACCCTAAAGGATTTTTCCTCTTCGTGGAAGATGAGTGTATTTTTTTTTAAACATCACTGAAAATCATAATTAGTTAGAAAGGGTTTTCTAACAGTGGAATTCTAACTTTAACTGATTTATTGAGGCTGCTTTTTGTGATGATTAGAATTTTTAAAAGTGGTTTTTAATATGTCAATGACTGTCTTTTGGACTATAAGTGGAAGAATCGACCATGGGCACCATGCAGGGAGAGCCAAAAGAGCTCTTACCGAAACTGTTGAGTTTGACCGTGCAATTGGACGAGCAGCCGAAATGACCAGTGAGCTGGACACAATGACTGTGGTCACCGCTGACCACTCTCATGTCTTTGCCTTTGGAGGACATTCTTATAGAGGAAACCCAGTCATGGGTAAAACACACTTTTAAACCGCAGTAAATGTGGTAAAACAGTAAATATTGTTTCACTGACCAAGTTCAAACATTTTCTGTGATATACAGGCATATCCCGCTCAATAGCTAAAGACAAGAAGCGCTTCACTACAGCAGTGTATGGAAATGGACCAGGATACCAGATATCAGAAAATGGAAGCCGCCCAGATGTGAATGGTACTATTTCATGTAAGCCCACACTTTTTTATTTATTTTTTTTTTTTTACTAAAACATCACAAATGTAAAAGTCAAACAATGCCTTTGGGTTTGAGGTTGTCTTCTTCTTCATTTTAGTTGATAAACCCAAAAGTAAAAAAAAAAAAAGTTAACACTTTTTTTTCTTCTTTTTTTTCTTTTGCATGACCAATTTCCACACAAAGCACATAATGATTACCGTCAGCAAGCTACTGTGCCTCTCAGTTCTGAAACCCATGGTATAGAGGATGTAGCCATCTTTGCCAAAGGTCCGATGTCACACCTCTTCCATGGGGTCCAGGAGCAGAGCTACATTCCCCATGCCATGGCTTTTGCTGCATGTCTAGAGCCTTATGAAAACTGCGAACTGCCTGACAACGCAAGAGCCATCTGTCCAAGTCTGTTGCTCCTCATGATGGGCCTCCTTTTTCTCTTTCTGTCATAAGTCAGTTTGAGAGTCTGAGATTGTACCCTGTGGATCAACTGCCTTTGAAATGAATTTAAATTTCATGGTTGCATAATTGAACGGCCCGTATAAATAGATTCAGTTTCTTGAAAATTATTTTTGTAAAAAAAAAAACAGTATTTATAAATGTATATTTGAAGCCATCACACACTCCATTAAATGTATTTATATGAACATTTGAATATTTTTTATTAGAACTGATCCCTAATTATTTTTGAAAGTCATATTGTATTCTGGTGATTAAAAAAAGGATGGTAATGTACACAGGAAGTTTCTCTTTCTTTAAGTATTAAAAAGTGTTCTAAGGCGAGCTTTATTTCTGGTAGCTATTTCCGCCTGAATGTGTATACATGACAAAAATGCACAGTGTACAAAATAACCTTTAAATACACATCTACTATAAACCAATGTTTAAGTAGCCAGAACATTTAAATTAATCCATTGTTTACACACACTCATGCAAAAAATAAAAATAATTCTCCCTGACAAAATATTACACACACTCATGCAAAAAATAAAAAGAATTCTCCCTGACAAAATAGCCTTGAAAACAAGAGTCTAAGAAAGGCAGAAATAATAAAATAGAGAACCTGATGGACGGAAACAGCTTTGTATAAAGTCCAAATGTAATTGCATGACTTGCCAACCTGATTCGTTAGTGGCAAAAACGACTGTCCAATAAAAGTCGACAGAAGGCGGAACTTCCGGTAAAAGGGGGCGTTATCTTATTTGGAGGGAAGTTTAACAAAGCAGTCATACAGCGATGGCAGTATATGTCAACAAATACATAGAAGATATAACAGATGTAACAAAACGCACGGAACATGTAAAACTTCTAGGGTTGTTGTTTTGTGTTTGTGTAAAGATGCAACGTTATCGTGATAATTATTTAAGACGCGTGTGAATTCTTATCGCTTTTGTTTTGGTAGCGTGTTAGCCTCCAGCTAGCTGGGTGAATGTTTTCTGCGGACAAAACACATATGGCGATCCATACACATTTATAGATATTTTTACTCTACAATTATTATTAATTATGGATCAAAGGACGAGAAGACTTGGAAGTCAACTATGTAAAGCTGTGAACGACGGAGACCCCAGGTGATGCTCTACCCTCATTGTTTTTCTACTGATGTGTTGGAAAAATCAGACAACCGGGTGGAAAATACTCTCATAATTAAGCAGATTAACGATGACAGCGATATGATAAAATTATTCTAAATATGTGCTTTATATTTTACTGAGTGGTTTATATTTTCGTTTTATGGTTCTGTTTCAAAGTGTATCGTAGTATTTTTTTACACTAAGTATTTTAGCAGCATCTAGTGGAGACGTGTTGTGTTGGTTTCCTCAGCTCAGCGTTCATGTCCAGACATGTACTGCATCGTTAAGACTGTACTAATAGGCGAAGACTGTGATTTATTTACCAAGGGTCTAAAAGTTCACATCAATTAAACATGGCTGTTTAATAAAAAATATATACAAAATATTTTTTTTAATTTTTGTTATGAAAATAAAAAAGTATGCTTTCAAGTGAGTCCACAACTAAATTTCATGCTAGAGTAATGAAGGTTGTATTGCAGTGAAATTTACCTCTAAAGTTTTGTAATGTATGACAGATTGGTGCAGCTGCTTCTGGCACAAGGGGCATGTCCGGACCTAGTGGGCAGGAAAGGGGCGGCTGCCATACACTTAGCTGTTGGCAAGGAGACTGAGAAGAACACACGATGCTTGAAAATATTACTGCAGTTTGGAGCCAACCCCAATATCAGGTATGGCTTTTAACACATTTCCTAAAGTTCTATTCACACACATAGCAGTTGTACTAGGAGGACATTGGTGTCATGGATATTTTAGATTGTTGGAAGGTTTTAGTACAAGTGATGTTGACTAACCTCTTGTTTTTCTCACAGGTCATCAGAGGGTCTGACTCCTGTTCACGTTGCTGCACTGTGGGGATGCTTTCAAAATCTGAAGATGCTTTTGATGAATGGAGGTGATCCAAATGTGAAAGATAATGTAAGAATTCATTCAGTTCAGTCAACGTTGACTTGTCAATATTTTTAATCAATTTCGTTAAAATTACAAACAACTTAAATTTTATGCAGGAAGGGAACCTACCGAGGCAGCTCGCAGAGCAACAAGAGAATCGGAAGTGTGCACTGCTCCTTCAGGAGTATGAAGCCAGCTCAGCAGACGCAGAGCAGGATGGGTTTCCTCAGTTCCAATATTGTAAGATTGCCTCTTTCAAAAGCTTTATCTATACATCAGTATTGAATACTAATTGGTGGAACTGATTTTTGCTTTTCACCACAGCGGTGTATTCAGGCCAAAGCGACACGTCCGATTATCCAGCTTCAGACTACAGCTTCAGTTCTCGCTCATCTATCATAAGTGACTTTGGCGACGCCGTGTTGAGCAGCACAAGACGCTCATCATCGCTTTTTAACCTTTCTCACCTTAACGATGGCCTGCACTCCAGAGGAGTTCCATCTAGTAGATTTTCTAATGTGCACACTACAAAGGAGGCCTGGAACAATTCCTATGCGCACTGGGCGGCAGAGGCGCCGTCCTTATTATCAAGTACACGAGTTTCATCTTTTGAACATGCAGCCCCAATGCCAGTTCTTAAGGAGGATGATTTATTTACCCACGAAGATGTTTCCACTATAAAAAATAATGAGCAGGCCTCTCCATCCAGGCGAGAAACGCTCCCTGCTCTTTCCCCCAGACGTGTCAGCCGCAAGAGTGTGAGCTTCAGGGATGTAGATGAATTTTTCCCAGTTTTTAGTCCTCAATCGCCCCAAAAGCCCAGCATTAATAGCAGCCAGTGCAACAGCAACCTATCCTTTGACCTTACCGAGTATTCTGATTTTCTGGATTCAGAACGTATGGTGACAGTTTTAAACAAGCAGGGTCTGGACGTGACCTCCCCGGATCATGTGTATGTCTTCTGCAGAGATAGCAGCACGAGCACCGACGAGGACATGGATAAAACTGTAATTAGTCACGTTGCTACAGAAGAAAGTGATAATGAACAGCTGGGAGAAATAGTTAAAGACACTCGGGTGAATGTACCTGAACAGCCAGTGCGTTTGTGTAAAGGCAGCAGTAGCAGCGGGACCTCTGGTAGTTACAGCAGCTGTGACAGCGACCATTACACCAGTGCTCTTGATGTTTCAACTCACCCTAGGTGTGAACCACTCTCTGAGGAAAAGGTGACTTTTGTTGACACTCAAACGTGTACATTTAAACCCACAAGTTCCACAACTATGTGCCACGATGGGAATCTCCCCCAGGATCAAACCCAGATTGACTCTGGAGCTGAAACACTAAAGCAGGTATTTGATCGATTCAAGTTAGAGGAGACAAAACACACAGAGACTGAAGCACCAGCTGATCATTCTGTTATTCACAGTACAGATAGTGCTGACAATGTATCAACCAGTTTAACTGCACACAAATCGGATGCAGTTGCAGTCAAAGTATCAGATGAAATATCCGACCTTCCATTCACACCAAGTCCTTTTGTGACTGGCAGGACTCGTTCACGTTTGAGTCGCTGTTCACTGAGAACAAGCCAAACACCCGAGAGCCTCTTCACATCCTCTCTGTTCGAGGAGAGCATACCTTCACCTGTTCGATCACGCCGGGGGACGCCAAGGTCTCAAAGCAGTAAAGAGTATTACCGGTCACCGCATGTACCGTATGAGGTTTCAACCCATTCAGCGGACGACACTGCATCACAGTCCTTGGCTGGGGATTGCCAGGACACACTGTCCAGCACCACTAGACCTGGTTCATTTGATAGCAGCAGCCAGGCAGATACCCTCATCCTACCGAAGAGCCAGCCTGATCCAGCCGCTGAATCACAGACTTTATCAGATACATTAATATTGGAGAAAAAACAGGTCTCTATGACGGATGCGTATGAAAGAATCATTGCAGAAATTGCTCTAGAAATGCAAGAGAATCCTTCAGAAGGCGAGTTCTTGACAGACGATCTGACGAGCACAGACGAGGCAGCAACAAAAGTAGATTTAAATACCAACCCTGTACTGGATGAAGTGGACGAAGATGCCTGCATCACAGAGGACAGGGGCTCTCAGACAGCCTCTGTGTCATCTTCGTCCAGCTCTAGCTATTTTTCCCCAAGGAGGTCCAGGGAAGACTCTGACCCTGTGTCCACACCTGGTACTGGATGCACCCCCAGATACAGCATGAGCAGATTGCCTGGTTGGCGCAGGTCAAACCCGCTGTCAAACCTGTCTTTCACACCAGGAGGGCGTCCACTTGTACAGGACCTGGACGAGCCGGTGGAGTACTTGTACACCGACACAGAACGGGGCCACAAGCTGATCGAAACCCACGTCCCTCCGACAACGAACACCTCCCTAAGTTCCAGCATGAACAGCACCAGCAGTGAGGAGACGCTCCTTTATGACTGGAGGTCCATGCAGGCTGACCCGCCGAACAACAAAGGAAAAGAAAACCAGGAGCCGCGACAGGCGACGCAGGATAAAGGACACAGCGGTGAGTGCGAGGACAGTCTGTTGCAAAAGACTAAAGGAATGACGGACAGAGAGCTGAGACTGAGGCTGGTGGAGTTTGGCGAGAGTCCAGGACCAATCAGCAGACACACCAGACCCACATACATGAAGAGACTGTGTCGCCTGCTGCAGGAGTCCAGCTGTCCATCACTGAATGACCAGAAGCAGAGAGACCAACCACAAGTACAGACAGGTGAATATTCTCTAATATTTTGATATTATAAAGTTCAACCTGTAGCATATATTGGGTTAAATCCGCCTTTTTCTAAACAGAAAAAAAAAATCAGATTTCTTCTCCATTTATATGGTCAGCTATTTCATCTGAGGTTTACATTATTGAACTTCAAATAAATCAAAACAGATTCATAAAAGTGATGCTAGCCCCCTGAATAGCAAGGCTACCCCTCGTGGTTCGCTGTCCTAACTGCTGATGTATTTTAATCCAGTTGATTTAGGTTATAGTCCAGAACTGAGTCGGGTCCTTCAGACCTTCCAGCTTCCCAACAGCCAGGCAGACGAGCAGGAGCTGTGTCTGCAGTTTGATCAACCAGACCAGAACAGGAAGTGGAGGGAGGGTGTCATCAAGTCCAGCTTTAACTATCTGCTGCTAGATCCAAGGTCAGTGATCTTTTTCCAAGGTCTTTTTTTATCTTCTATCCTCCTGTCTGTCTTCGTTTATTTTTAAATTAAATATGAGGAATATCATCAACACCAACAGGCTCTATAGCACTTATTTTGCTCGATTTTCAATTTAACTTTTTAATTTATGTTACTAAGGATGAAATGTTGTTGCTGTCTGTTCAAATTCAATATTTCTGTTTAATACTTTATCAGCACTGTTTGAATAAATATTAAGTGGTATTTTTACGTAGTTTTTAAACACGTACAGTAACACAGTGTTGTTGTTGTTCTACTCTGACAGGGTGACGAAAAACCTCCCCTTCCGCAGTCACACCATGACTCCTCAGGAGTGTTTCCAGACATTTGTCAATGCTATTTTTTACATTGGCAAAGGGAAACGCTCTCGTCCCTACAGCCACTTATATGAGGCTTTGGAATACTACAGAGAGGAGAAGACCGCCAAGGTAGGACACCACTCAGTGTACTACGACACAAATGATTGGTGAATGACGACGATGAAGATGATGACGAATGATAAAAACTGTAACCTTTTCTCTTTAACAGAAACTCTGTCCTAAAGTGCAGCACATCCTTCAGGTGTGGACGGCTGGGCAGGGTGTCATCTCCTTGCATTGTTTCCAGAATGTTATTCCAGTGGAGGCGTATACAAGAGAGGCCTGTATGGTGGAAGCCATTGGTGAGTACAAAGAAATGCTAATCATTAATTGCTAACTAGTTTTATAAGTTTTTTTTTTTAATCCTAAAGTCATCGAAATATCTTGTTGTGCTCTTCATCAACAAGCCTTCATTCATCGTTAATTTTTTTGTTTTTTTGCCTTCACTGTCCCAGGTTTGAAGATGCTGACCAATCAGAAAAAAGGTGACTTTTATGGGGTGGTGTCCAATTGGCAGTCGAAGCGAAAACGGGAGCTCGGCGTCCACCTGCTCTACCGAGCCATGCAGATCTTCCTGGCTGAGGGTGAGAGGCAGCTCCGACCAGCAGACATTAGACAGTAGTGACCTCTACTGGTGAAGGTAATGCACAGCAGCATAGGACGAGACACAAGGCGGAAAAGTCACAGAGCCCACAGACAATATTTTCAGTTTTTTTTTTTAATTGAACACATCTACTGATTGATCTGAGCCTAATTATTGATCACTTTATCTAGTTATTTATTTTTCTTATCCAGGTGACACTACACATACCAAAGCAATTTTTTTTCTTTTTTTTATCATCTTCTATAATGGTATCCATCATTTTATACATCAGTTAATGGAATAAAAAATAATCATTGTCAACAAGAGAAATATTAACAGATGAATCTTTGCAATTAACCATGTTAGTTTTCTACTGTTCAAAACCGTGTAATTTCTCAGGAACCAGAAAATGATAAAAACAGGAACAATTAGTTCAAACAACTGTGATGATAACGTCCCCTTGATTTACCTTAAAAAAACTGCTTTTAATAATTCATGTTCATTGACTTCCTCATTGACGCAGCGATTAGAAGACATGGGTGTGACTATAATGGCCTTGTAGATTTAGTGTTTTTATATGTCTAATAAAAGGTCAATCTGGTACGATCTAAAATAGTAATGAGCGAGTAGATGACAGTAAGTCGCAGGAATATAATATATGTGTATTTTTAACTGGCTTTGTTGGCTTTGTTCGTGTGTTGGTTTACATTTCTCTAGACATGTGATGATGTTGAAGCCTCTGGAAAAATTTTTGTGTTTCTTGTTTTTATATCCTTAAAACATGACTAGACCAGTGCAGAAAGATGCTGCTAGTGCATGAGACCTGCAGATGTTGTGCTTAGCTGAAGTTGTTTGTTTTTGTTGTGTTTGGGGGAGGGGGGATCCTCTGCAACAGTTGTTTGTTTTTGTTGTGTTTGGGGGGGATCCTCTGCAATGCATAAATGAAGATAAACTGATTTATCAGGGTTATTACTCTCACCGTCTAGTCATCAGAAATTATGGGCTTAAAAAAGATTTATATAATTCTGTATTTTATGAAAAAAAAAACCATTACATCTGCAGTGCCCTGCTGGTCATGGGAAGAAAAACAACTGCCCTGGTTCAAGACATTCCAGCATTATTGATTTAGTTTGCACATGGTGTCAAATCGTTGGCATCGCTGAACGTGTGATTAGTGTTTGATTTCATATGTTGATTCATTTGTTTGTATTTTGATAAAAGATTACTTTCTACACACACTTCATTTGCTTGTATGCATATAAAAAATATCCAAGATAAACATGGAAAAATACTGGAAACTGGAGTATGGTTCTTCTGGTCACTTGTGAGGTCTCGGTCGTCTGTGGCCCTCTAGTGGACACAGTGCGGAACATGTCAGTATGTACAGTATGCCTCGGAAGTAATTTCATCAGCGCATAATTACGGTAAACACCATAAATGTATAATATATATTTCATAATATAATGGATACATTTCATGTCATTATATATTTAAACTCTAAAAACAAAAAAAATGCTAATTGAAAAATGACACTTCACATTTATGTAATGTAAAAATATCAACTAATCATTTTAGAAGTGGAACAAAATAATGATCTAAACAATTTCTGTGTAAATTCGGGGTCAAACCGAGAGAAGAGACGACCGTTAGGGGTGTTGACGTGTGTGTGTTGACTCATCAGGCTGTTTGTTGGAACTGTGTGTGTGTGTGTGTTTTTTCCTGTCACATCTGTGCAGTCACTCGTGTTTTTTTTAAACACCACATCTATAATGATGTGCTAAAACCATATAGTTTTATGATATATTACAATAATAAACATAATTTTGGGATATTAATACGTCTGCATTTATACCTAACTTGTGCTAAAACAAAAAAATTAAATTATTTATGTATTATTTATTATTCTTAGAATTATTAAACAATAATTCTTCATATGATCTTGGTAAGAATTTCACCAGAAGAGTTTTGATCACAAAAAACAAACACAAAACAGAAATATGCTGAATATCTCTTTATTTGCTCAGACAAAAACATGGGTTTATACAAAACATGTTATAAAAATTATGTTTCATAATAATGTTAAAAGTGAATGAATTAAAACAGACCTTACTGATGTATGGTGTTGTTTCAACTTGGATGAAAATGACTCCATTCAACTCATTCTCCTATTTCATTCTATAAACAGCATAGTTTTTTTTAGTACTTTCATCTCTCTCTACATTCTCGCTGCTCGTGTGTGTGTGTTTGTCTGGGTTTGAAGGGAAGCCGCAGGGTTGACAGGCGGAGAGTTAAATAACGCCGTCATCAGCTTATCGTGATGTTATTCCTTCCGACGGTCGGACGAAATCTGGGACACAGTTGCATTCATCGTTCAGTGAGCTCTACTACACAGTTAAACCCACCGACAGCAATGAATGTTGATTGTGACCTTTGCTGTGGTTTGGACGCTGGAAGTGGTGTATATAAATATTTTCAGTGGTTGTTTGTAGGGAAGAGGAGACAGCTTGTTCTTTGTGTCGTCCTTCAAAGAGCCCGTGTGCAGGTTTCGCATGTGTTGGACTCCTTTTTTTTTTTTGTAAAGACACTGAGTGACAGAGCCCGGCCACAGGGTACAGTCAACGGTCGATGGTTTTTTCAATTTAGCTGAAACTCACCGACAGCGTTGAATGTTCACTGGAGCGAGCGTGGACGCGAGAGTGACGAGAGGCCGTCTTCTGTTTAAAGATGCAGAGGCAAAGAGGCTGCATTGTGGGTGAGGAGGCTTCTAAGCCTCTCCCTCTGCAGTAAATCCTTTTTCATCTCCTGACCATGGAAATGAAGAGAGTCATGAGTGTTAAGCACACTTTGATCTTTCCTTTTTTTTTTGCCATATCAGATTTCTACAAACTTCAAAAGAAACAATAATTCCACTTGCAGTTTTATCATTTAAAGTGCTGCTGCTCACATCACCAATACACACAACGATTAACATTAAGTATGATGGAGATTATTTTTTTTATTTTTTTGTCATCTAGTTATTTAACCTTCTCAACCACAGCTCACACAAACAGAGGTGGACGAGCCTGGGCTCCACCTTTCCTTTATGAAAACTGTAACAGAAGGTAACACAAGACGCCTGTACCTGTGTATCATCAACTTCCATGACACCAAAGATGGCCAGTGAAGGCATCAGTGCATGGGAACGCGTTTTATTTCACAGTAAATAGCACTTAAAAATAGATAAGTCATCTCGAAACCCATGACTCACCATAGCCTTTACAAAAACAGCACCTGGGCGGAGGTTGCAGCCACTCACCATATGCTGCACTGAAACGCAGCCTCTACACAGGTGCAAACTTACCCAGAGGGCTTCACGCTGAGGGTTCGAGTTAGTACGAGGAAAAACGCAGGTACAAAACTGTCGACTACTGCTATGATGTGTCACTGTTACTAAAGACGGCGTGTGTGTGTGTGTGTTTTCTGACTTCTCGTGGTTTTACCAGTAAAGAAACTGTCCACCACATAGTGGAGGGAGTTTTTTTGTTTGTTTTTTTTACACACTGCTTAATCATCGTTACTCATCGGGAGATAAAAGCAGCCGAGTGCAAGATGCAGGAAAATCAAATGCCACAAAGAAACTGAAGCAATTACACAGATAGAATGTGACAAAGAAAAATCTGAGGTAGTGAGTCAAGATGAGGCGAGGACATAAATACGTAGTTAGACATTTTAACCAGGCAGAATGTAGAGTGACTAAGACATGAGAGAGAAAACGTCCTTTTTTTTAATGAGGGACAGATTTAATAATGTAAAACTACCCCAGGGGCAAACGGCTCTTCCTGTGATACAAGGAAGACGAGGAACAAGGCGTACACAGAAGAACTGACCTTAGGAAGGTTCATAGTGCGTAGCAAGTGCTGAAGTGTGAAATGGAAGTTACATTTATGGACAGATTTATATAAAAAAAAAAGTTTCACAAGTGCTGAAGTGTGAAATGGAAGTTAAATCTTTTACATTTATGGACAGATTTATAAAAAAAAAGTTTCGCATTTTCTAATGAATTTTAATGTCGGGGAAAACGGGGAATATTTATAATGAATTTTAATGTCGGGGAAAACGGTGAATATTTAGGAGCGTTGTAGAACAACAGGATTCTGGGCCACGGTTCATTTAATGGCGTCTTAAGAGCATTACCTTATTAACACAGGACGCCAGATGTCAATTACAAAATATGTAAAATTTGTAAAATTATTTTGATAAAAGTAATAAGTCGAGACCCAGAAATATGGAAGTGTTAGCAAAAATGACATTTGCTAAATTAACAAAAACAACCATGACATATACATATATGATATAGAATACTCGGTAATCAAATCACACTTTGATTCCGACTGACATCTCCCACGCCTGGACCAAAGAGCACAGTCCTCGCTGCGGGGGGGGGGGACAACCACGTTAACGGGGTCTGTTGATTTTGAGTGACAGTGTCAGAATTGACAGAAGTGGAGGAGAAAGAATGTTTTGCTTTATAAGGTCTTCTCTGGCCGCAGGACCAGGGCTGACAGTAGGAGGAAAGATCCAGGACACAGGCAGAGAGAAAGGGAGGCCCTGAGCTGACAATGGTGGCCTTAATCTGAATGACAAGGTCTGCACATCAGCCCTCAAACCAGCCTGGGTTAGCAGGAGGGAGGAGAGGAGAGGAGAGAAGGGGGAGGGAGAGAGCAGAAAGAAGGAAGAAAGAGGAGAGAGAGAGAGAGGGCGCAGATGAGAGTGTCCTTCCTTCAAACACGCTGGCCTTAATGGCACCGACAGCTCTGACATTTAACCACTGAATCATTTTTAGATAAGTGGATGTTGGGGAAGGGAGATGAGGCGTTTTCTGAGCTGAATGTAAGAAGCTTTAAGAAGCTTTGGGAAATCATGGACGGCAGCTCATCTCTTTAATGAGGGGGGCAACCTCATCTGAAGGACGAGCGGGCACGGAGGAGGCTAATTTTGGATTTTAGAGCAAACTTGACTGTTGAACTGTTGTGGACAGAGTTTTTCTTTAACGGATGTCGGGACTTTTTTTTCCGTCCTCCACAGTTGGTTCAGTGAGTGGCCAACAGACCACAGCTGTCCTGGACACCCTCCCACAGGGAAATCACTGTGGATGTGACACAGGTCTCCACGTGTGACACATATGCAGAGCAGATTGTAGATGATAGGGTTGCAATAAAAAAAAAAGGGGGGAGAGAGAGAGAGCTGCTTCGAGCTGTTAGCACCTAAAGCCAGCAGAACGAGTTTCCTCAAACAGAAAGTGTTGTACGTATCAGAATTAGAGCCGAGGACTCAGTTCTAAACATCCTGGTCTTTCCAGAAAGACATCATACAGGAGGCGATCAAATTACTCCCAAACAACAAAAGAACCATCTGCATTTGATATCACGGTAGCGTGTGAATGACTGGTTCTTTTTTTATTTGTTGTAAGGTCACAGGATTTCCTTTCATTAGCGGATGGAGAACATAAATGTGGCATTAATTTTTTTTTGCTCTTCATGTCCTCAATTGTACGTTTACCCCATAATCTCCCCATCAACCATATTTAAAACTCGTTAAAGATTTTCTTATGATTAATTATAATCAACAGAGACCAGATTAGTATTTATAAAGAAGTGAAAAAAACTAATGCATTTATGTGGGATACAACCAAAAAATAGGGATTTTACAAAAGGTGCAGATCCAGCTATTTTCTTAAATTTAATTTACGTTTTAATAAAATCAATTATTAGACCTCCAAAGACCTGCGTGTGAATGAAACAACCTCGGCTGCTTCTGTCACTAATTTCTAAACCACAGCTAAAAACTTTTTTCTTCTATATCAAATGGAGCATGTGACTCGACACGGAGGCCAAACAAAGACGATGTTACAGCCGCGAACGGGGCTTTTAAAGAGATTTGTGTTAAAAGAAAACCCTACTAAGTCTCTCTGCCTCTCTCTCTCTCTCTCTCTCACCTTCAGTTATTCCATTTCATTGTCTCTCAGGAGGGGGAGGAAATTCCTGGCGAGGCTTCTGTTGAGTCGTTGCTCTCTGCCTGCAGGTACAAACCGGCCTCCTCTGTCTGCCTGTCTGCAGATATCAAACCGCGACGTGATCTGTTTAGCTGCCTGGCTTAATGCTCACGCGCCTCCAGCTCTTTGTGTGTGTTTATGTGCTTGTGTGTTTGTGGAAGTCGGTGTGTGTGTGTTGACTTTGTCCGTGTCTTCACAGCCGGAATGGTGTCGCCTGTAATCTGCCTTCCTGACATTTCAGGTGTACGCTCAGAGAGAGAGAGATGTTTTTACTGCACTGACAAAGTATTTACAAATTAAAACAGTCTTCATCTTGAAACAGTCGTTGGGGGAAACACACACACACACACACAGTCTCATGCTCTGACAGGATGGATTAGAAATAATGGGTTTGATTACAGTAATTATGTGAAACAAAGTATTGCCGGCTCCAAAAAGGCTCCGACATAAAATATTCAAATTCTTCACCAACGTAAACGGCTCCATTTCAATATTTCAATAGGTTCTTTGTGGAGAAACCACAATTCTTCTGCATCGTCTCGCAAATATATTTTCATTATTTTACCCCCAGCTTGACACGGCGCTGACCGTGCTGACTGTAACACAAACAGACAGAGCAGAGAGGGGCTGTGAGTCCAGCTGGTGGTGGTCTCCTGCCAAACCTGCAGGCAGACGGTCTGCCTTTATTCATAATCATCACACACACTCTGATTGGAACTGACAAGACACACACAGTAGGGGAAAAATATCCACCAGTGAGTGAATCAATATTTCAAGGACAACCTGCTGGTCTAAAAATTTTATGAGGAGAAACTATTTTTTGCTGCGTTACGTGTCTTCGACTTCCTCTGCATTTCTGGCATTTTTTTTCTTTAGAAGAAATACCTACACTGTATTTTAGGGGGAGGCCGGGGGGGGGGGGGCGGTCGGGGGGAGGGGGGGAAAAAATAAAGGTGGAATGTGCCGAGAGACAGTCACAATTGATGTGGACTAGCAGCAGTGAGTGATGTCTTGAGAGAGGAGCAGATTGGTGAAAAAAACGAGAAGTGAATAATGGCAAGTCGGCCGGGAGAGCGACGAGAGCTGGAGAGATGGAGCAGGAGAGCTTCCCTCTCACACACACACACACACACACACACGTGCGCGTGCACAGAGCAGAGAGCAGAGAGGGAGAGACACTCTGCAGGGCGCCATATAATAACCTTCCTTGTCATTATCATTTCCCAGCCAAACCACTCTCCACTTCTCCTCCACCTCCTTCTGTCTTCAACACAATCTTTGTCCTATCGTTTACAGCGCGCAGCTAAATGGGAACATCGATAGACACATCCATTAGCAGCGCGGGTCCTTTACTCTCTGATTCTCAAGTGTTTTAATAGCCGACACACACACACTCACTCTCGTATTGCACCTCGGCGGACTCTTAACAAAGCTAGCATTGCGGCGCAGGCAAAGCCAAACTGATGGAGTGTGTCATTATAGCTGGTTAGTAACCGGCTGGCTGTGAGGCTGCCATCACTTAACCTGCAGCCTGAAACCAAGGTGATGTGGAGCTGCTCTCTCATTTAAGTAGCTTTCCTTGCAAACAGCAACTCCAGGAAGTGATTGTTTTTTTTGTTTTTTTTCTCATTTGTTTATGCACCACACTGTATCTTGGAAAATCCTGCCTCCACTCTCTGACAGTCACTGCTCTTCACAGCTACTCTCTTTTGTTTAAAACAAAGAAAAATATGAAGTTGGAAAGGTTCGCCTTCAGACATCAGCCATTTAAAGGTGATGGTACCGTCGGCTGACTCTTGCCCTCGGTCATTCAGGACAGGAGTTTCACACGTGAACTCTCAGAGTAGAGTTCAGTTCGCAGGCGTCCATGTGGAGCACGGCTACCACCAGCAGTTGAGCAAATGAACATTTTCAGCTGTGGTCCTGTGTAAAGAGAGATCAAAAATAAATCCCTCCTCAGTGGAGGAATGTGAAAAAGATAAGACGCAGAAATAAGGGCATATAGAGCACTTGAAAGGGAGGGAGGGGTTTCCCACAATGCCACCTCACAGGCTGTAATTCTAGCATGCATTAGGTTAGGTTTTTTTTTTTTTTTTTTTTTCCCTTTTGGAAACGAGGGTGACTGAGGGTGCTGGGAAAACCTGGGAGGGGCAGTGAGTGGGTGGAGGGGGTCGGTGGATGGGGTTTGTGGGAGCTGCGGTGCAGCTGTCGAAGGCGAGTTGTGAAGATTGGCTTTGACTGATGGAGACGGGAAATAAAATGAGGCAGATTTTTCTACATGCACACACACGCAGGGCCTGACTATATATAGCGTGTGTGACACCACACGTACCGTGTTACTCCCTCACTGCATGTACATTTACAATAAATGCAGCCCCTTGTCCAGTGTTCAAGGTCGGCGTCTTTGGACAAAGGCAGGAGCTTTAAATATAAAAAAGTGCGTCTGGTGCTTTTGGCTGACTGACTGCAGTCGGTGTTTGGTATTTGTTTTGTGGAATAAGCAGTGAATTAGTTGTTAAAATAGCCGGAGAAGTAAACAGTGGTGGATAATAGTTTGTTTTCCTCACAGTCACACCATTATTGTCTTCCTCAATCCTGACTCTGTCTCTGATTCTTACCGTAACGGCAGTGTGTGCGTGTGTGTGTGTGTGGCAGGCTGGTGGTAGACCGCAGACAGACTCTAGGTGCCATGAAGATATGTGTGTGTGTGTGTGTGTGTGTGTGAAGTCCTCCTTCATGTCTGGACCTGGACAGAAAACAAACAGAGAAGAAAGAGAAGGATAAATTCAGGTGTTGTTTGATAAAGCTTGTTATTAAAACAGAGACACACACACACACACTCAACAGTGCTTATTAGCAAATACAAGGGGCTTCCCCCCCCCTCATGCAGACCCCAGAAATTGGGGCATCTTAATTAACTTCCACTTTGATGATTTAACAGCGCGGCTGAAGAACACTGCGCGTCACCGTAATCACAATCACACGTCTCGGTTTAATCCCTCCCAAAGAGCTCTCGCGTGATTTTATATGTACAACAAACCCACTCAGAACCAGGTTTGTGTAAACAGTCGGGGTGGTCTTTAGACACGACGACGAGCAGCCGCGCTTGGTGAACATTTACAAACAATTCATCTTAAAAAAGAAAAAAAAAAGAAGAAAGAAAGAAAACACCAATGCCACCAGAACAGAAGTGGCGCTAACAGGAAGTGCATGAAATCAGCAGTTACCGCGCAGCTACCGAACAGTCCGTCAACGGTAGGAAAAACGATGGTGATACCGTGCAAGCGACGGTCGTTCTGTCTCCGCCAATAAACGCTGAACTATCGCCGATGTGCTTTCGTGCGGTGCTGTACACACAACAAAGAATTTCAGGGATGATGACAGCACCGGCTGTAAGGTATTATATAAAGCTGACATGCCCGCAGCGTGATGAGGTTGGAGTGATGTGCCACGAGACAGAATGAATTATCAAAAAGAATTTCTGAGTGTAACGTCTGAGGCTGACAAGATGGAGAGGGAGAGAAAAAAAGATATACACAGAGAGAGAGAGAGAGGAATGTACAGCTGCAGCACGGGCTGACTGATGGAAGAGCTCTTCACTAAACCTATACATAATTTAATGTGTGTGTAAATAAAACATAGCAAACACTTCTATAATTAGTAATTTCACTTATCCTGTTCAGCGTTTAATCCGAGCGACAGAACTTACAACTGCCGCGGCTGTGTTTTCCATCAACGGGGAAAAACGGAACGAAGACGAAGCAGATCAGAGACAAATTATTTTCATTACAGTTATTAAACTGACAATTAGTTCCTTTGCAATTTTACTGTTGAGTGTTTTGGCTGTGAATTATCCGATTATACAGAAGCACTTCAGACTTAATTATAATACTTTGCATTGCTGCATAAAACAGACTGAACTGACGTGTGAATATTATTTCCATTAGTGTCTGCTGTTTGTAACTTAAATCCCTCCTAGTCTTGTTGACATGTTGTTTTCTTTGGATCCCAGCGTTTAGTTCTCTGGAAAAATTCTGATTCACGTTCAGTTATTTGATGAAACTCATGAAAAAGTCTCCTGTTGCAGATCCTGAGTTCATTCTTTGTCATTTTTTAAAATGAAATTAATAGAAAATTAGTTTCTAAAAAAAACTGTCTCACCTTTAACAGGAAAAAGATGCAGGAAAAATGTTTAGTTTTATGGAACGACCAACTTTTTTAAAACAAAAATCTAATTGTTATCTGTGGGAAGTCGTCTCTCACTTCATGATGGTTGGATTTTTTTGGCCATTTTAAAGAAGTGGACCAACTATTCTGACTCTAGTGCCTACTCTTACTCTTACCAGCAGTACAAACCTAATACTATTTAAAAGGTTGAAATAAATGGACCTGAAATTTCCCATTTGTACAGATTCAAACTAAACCATTTACATATGAAATCCAAAAACGCCCACTGTAATAGACTTGTCCGCAACTCAACCCGTCTCAGCCGGATCTTGTACATCCAGACGGAACAACAATGATTGACCTTGGCCGGATGAAGAAAATACTGCTTCAATTGTTCGTACTTCACTTTGATGTTAAACACAGTTACAGGAAATCTGCCGTCCGCAGCTATGAAAGAAGAAAAATGACACCTTTTATACCGCCTGAGAAACAACTCCTTTGTTTCTTTCTCTCTCTTTTTTTTTTTTTTTACTGTTGTTCAGTTTACCGCATCAGCCACCGGAAAATAAATGTAGTTTACTGCGTGGCCGATGTGTCCTTCAGGCACTGCTAAGTTCTGCAGCATGTTCCTTCACATATTTACCATATTTTGCTTCCTCCGTCAGTCACTGCTTCAGAGCTGCAGACCTCGGAGGATACTCCTGTCGTTTAGATCCTAACCCATTTACGCTCTCATTAACAGATCCATGTGCAGCTCAGTACATTAAAAAGAGAAAAAAAACCACTCTGGGACCACCCATGTGTTTAGGCCCCTTCCTTCCAAACAAAAAGGCAACAATAAACAACTGTTTTCTCTCTGCCAGTTAAATGAGCTAATTCATGTGAGAGGGGGAGAACAGAGACGTGCCAAATTAACAGAGGTTTTGACGGTGCAGTGGGACAGGGGCGGGGGGGTTTGTGTGTTAACTAGAAGACGCAATTAATCAGGACTGACTGCCTAAAAAGAACCTTGTTACAAGATTGACTGGCCCCGGCAGCATTTGTTCTTCCATCACAAAAGCCAAAGAACTTGTAAAAACAATAGTGAGATTCCACATGTTCAGAAAACAAAAAGAAAAGCTGTTGGAAAATGCAGGCAGAGGGCAGTGTTACTAACTCTTCTTCCAATTTCTTTTAACTGATAACTGGTCAAACTAAATGAAGCTGAGCAACATGATGACGTAAAATCCCACCCATGACCTTATACTGTGGGTTTTCAACAGGGGGGTTGTGGCCCGTAAAAGGTATGCAAAGGTGCTGCAATGGGGTCGTAATCTTTTTTTTAAACAATTTTTAAATACTTAATATTTTTGGAAAATATCAATATCATAAAAATTGGATAAATCTGTATTTTATTAGAAAAGTTTAATTCAGTCTTTCATCATTTTAGGGTTTCCTGGCCGTTAGGAAAACATTCCTATATGGCATGTTTATTCTTTAAAAGTAATATTAATAAAATATAACAGGAATAATGCACCTATATAAAGTGATTCTACATCTATGCTGACACAGCGATGCCCAGTTTACTAAAATTCCACTGACTAAACCGACTCTTAGTGGAAGGTCGTAGAGTCTGACGAATAGCGCAACGTACGATGAAAGTTCACATTAACTTCTAGTGAACTACGATACACTTCTTCTCGCTCTCCAAACAGCTACAGAGTTTCAGGCGAACACAGAGTGAGTGAGACGTTATTCATGAACACACTTCCTTGCTGTTCGAGAGGCTGCGCTTGTGGCTCAGGGGAGATTAAAACAATGCAAAGTGTGTAAGTTAAGAGCTCAGTTTTCACTGGGCCACCCAGGGTTGAAGAGAAGGAGAGAGAGATAGTTCACAGACTGGAAGTGTCTGTCACTGAGAGAAAAACATCAAATGAAAACCCACAAATACATAAATGAAAGGCGTTTTTTCTCCCCCTCAGATGATCCGGCTTCTATTCAGTGTCTAAGTGTAATTGTGAGATACTTGAGCAGAGGCTACATCTGGGTCAGCCGTGAAATGTAGAATATTGTTGGTAAGGAAAAGCAGTAATTAGCTTAGTAATTGTTCACGTTTGTCTGAAAGTCAGGTACGTATGCGTGTGTCTGTGGATCGCAGCGTTGTGATATTATTTGAAGTAAATCAGCTGCACTGCGTCCAGACGGCCCACGTCGGGTCAAGTTCAGGAAACGAATGACTCGGCTGTTTTTCTCTGCTGCGGTATTTGTGTCTGAATGCACTTTAAGTGCTGATCTGTGTCAGAATGTGTTTGTGTTCTTACCGTGTGATGCCTGTTTGTAATAAAAGTGGTGCAAGAGCAGGACCACCCACAACCGTTGCCCATACATTCTCCTTAGTCGCAGAAAAAAAAAAGTCACTCGTCTTAATTATATCCATCCTCTGGGCGTGTCTTTGTGCTCAGAACAGACATCTGAGCCACCCCCCCACACCAACAGGCCACAAACCTCACCCCGGCCTATGGAAAGAACATTTTGGTGAACACTTTGACCTTACATGGAAATGAACATATTTAGCACTGTTTTCACTGAGGATCGCAGAGCTAATCTGATTAGACTGAGTGTTTTAAGTTTGTTAGAAACAAAGCGTAATTCAGAAAGTCATGAGCCAGATGTTACCATCAAAATATGTCTGACTTTTTTTTAAGGACCAAAACATGTTCAGACACATTTCTCAGGCGTCTCTGACAGTTTGACACATTTTACAGGTGATATAAATCACATCTTTGGTTTTTCAACCCTCAAAAATTTTAAAGGCGTCTCTGACAGTTTGACACATTTTACATTTGATATAAATCACTTTGGTTTTACAACCCTCAAAAATTTAAAAGAAAAAAAAAATCAAAAATCAGAACAGAACATTTTTAACCAAAGTTTAATTCAAAACTGGTAAAAAGTTAATGCTTTTCAACATTTTTTTTTTTTTTACTAACCCCCACAAATGAAAGAAACTAGATTTAAGGCCTAAGACAAGCAGGTTCTACTCTTAAAGTATTAGGAACCTATAAATGGTAGAATAGTCAAATATTTTAAAATGTATGTAAATGTTCTCAAAGTTTACAGGACATTAAATTCGCTCATCATTTAAACTTTGGAGCCAGAGACGAGATGAAGCGCCTACATTGACACGTGTGTCTGCAGACACACCGATCAGACAGGTTGTTATGAAGGCTCTGCTGCAGGGAGAGGGTTGTTGTGACTGCATTGTTATCTTTTTCCATTGAACTATAATTTTCAAAGCAGCAACGTGAAGGAGAAATCTATCGGACTCCACTTTCAGGGCATAGAGAGGGAGAGAGAGAGAGAGAGAGAGACATTAAGACACTGACACAGATGGAGTCTGCACGGGCAGCATCTCAACAACTGCCCGCCAAACAACCATCCTCAGCCTTTGATGCGCTGCCCACTTTTCTCTCTCTCTCTGCATTTTTATTTTTCGCTTTCAGGCAGACAACTGTGATGTTTAGCTGAACTACAGAGAGATTTCACCCTTTCCTCCTCCGCACAAAACGAGCCTCTCAATATCTATAGCCAAAACAAGTAAAAGCTAACTTAAGACAGAGTGAGCTAAATATAAATACATTGTCCCTGCTGTCTACGCCTCCTCCTACCCATCGTTTTCAATATCATATCCTCTGAGGATCACGGGGTTAATCTGCTTCTCATGTATATTAGCTGAGATACCATCGGAACCCATTTGTTCCAAGCAGCGAGGCTAATGACCCTGAGCAGAGGCTGGGCGTTTGGCTGGGATCTTGGAAGTTGTGGGGGTGGGAGATAATGAGAGGGAATGGGAATACGAGCTACGGTCCATCATCTACTTAGGAACCAGACAGCAGCACTGCAGTCCTTCCCTCTGAACACACACACACACACAGGAAAGAAAAAAAAAAACAATATGAAACCGAACCATTTTTCCATTGTTCCACCTAATTTTACTCCTGTCTCGTTTAGTTAATGTACTGAATGTAGCATTTTGTCATTGGCCAATCAATACGAGGGGCAGCGAGGGAGGGGAGGGTGGGGAGGGTGGGAGGGGGGGGGGGGGGGGGGGGGGTTGATGAAGATGGGATGTTTGTTGTTGAAAATGGTAACTAGAGAAAAAGTTGCTGGCAGAAATAATAATAATAATAGCAGCATTAGCTTAGCTTCAGTAAAGTCTTACAATTGTTGCAAGGAGATACAGTTTTAACCTCATTTGAGGTTAAATTAATGTTGTTTTAGAAGATATCGAAGTTGTGTTAAATTATTGATTATGATGTTGGCTAATCCTGGTGCAACTCACTCTTGTTAAGATATTTTTTTGGATGTATTTCTACAGCCCACTGGGATTTTGTCGCTGTTCCTCTCACAAAGAAAACGAACAAAGACTTACGTAAATTCGCGCTTTAACCTTTTCGTTCTATGGTGGCAACAAACCCCCATTAACCCGATTAAATGATATAAATGTTTAAAAAGAAACTTTCCTGAATGGCGTCTTCTCCCTTCTACATAAACATCAGGGACACACTGGCCCATACACAGAAACCAGATTTAGGGCGCTGTAAATTCCTCCTTGCTGTATTTTCTTGCAGGGCCTAAAACGGCGGCCATATACACCCATATGTGCGTACGCGCAGAGGAGGTATAGCTGTGCTCGGAAACACCATCTGTATAAGGCTGAATAAATTCTGTGGCGAGGGAAAAGCAGCAGGAGTCCACTCCTGGGCCTTTATTTGATTCCATTCAGGCTGGCATTCATGCCTCTTTCACTTCACTGGCATGTATACGAAAATTTATGTGCGCATGTGGAAAAAGAGAGTGTTTACAGGAGTAAGTACCAACCAGCACTCTGCATGCGAGTGTGTTGGTAATACCTCCAATGGCAGACTAATGATAGGTCTTATCGACACCCAGCAGTGAATGCAGGCCTTTTGTCTCCTCCCGGGATGTATTATGGAAAGCTTAGGGGGAGCTGCCTTTGACTCCTTTTCACTCGACTCTCATCCACTGATAAAACCCCAGCACAAAAAGTAAATATATACAGCTCCTGAAGCTCGGCAAGTTCACACACACAATACAAGCCCAAGTCCTGTCGTCAAAATAAGCCACAGCTCATAAACTGGGTACAAGTCTGACAAAAGATAGAAATTAAAATGGAAATTTCTATATCGGGGGAAAAAAACCACAGCGACAAAGACTGCAGTCACTTTTCATTATGAATTTACAATGTAATTACGTATACAATGTGGAATTACTGACGAAAACAGGGAGGGAAACCAGCGGCAGATTGGGCTGTAAAAGTCAATATTTTAAAAACAAAAAGAGAACAGACTGTACTAAAACAGAAAATAAATAACTGATCACACGATTAGAAACTGTTTTGTACTAAATGCTTGTGTTTTATTGACGATGTGATGATTTGATCAAAGTCGTAGATTTATTTCTTACCCAACGAGAAACTGCCAAGATTGTCTAAATGAAAATGTCTCATAAAATAATAATATGATTCAGATTAAACTCAATATGACTGAGACTTCTGACCACACTGTTCAAAAAAACTCTTCCTTTTTTTAGATTCTGGTTTTTTTTTCTCTGCTTGTATGAGGTTTTTGGACACGGTCCCTCAGACAAGCAGTTTATGGAAAAAATAAAAATGTTTTCATTTCCAGTGTTGGCAAATGTTGGGTTTTACCATTTTTTTTTCTTAGACCTCACTTTACTGCTCCTCGGGTACGTGTCGGCCATTTCTACAACAGTTGCCCTGCTGAGTCAATAAAACCCTCGCTCTCTTGCCGTGTTCCTTCACAGGCTCGTGTTAGGAATAAAAAACACCCTCAGAGTCCTGCAATCATTATATTCACACATTTATTTATGTTTTTGGGATTCTTTTTTTATCCTTTCTGACATTAACCTTCATTCAGGGAAGGAACTGTTGGTTTGTCAAAAAGTCCAAATTAAGGGACCTTGCTTTGAGAAGGAGGAGGTTTACGTCTCCCCACAGTCTCAAATTAAAAGGGGGCAAGAACAAGTGTTTTATGGCCTCAAGGCATTAAGGGCTGTCACTTTATTGGCCCTCCTCCCCTGTTTTTCTACCTATCAGGTTAACAATCTCTTAAGGGCTGTCACTTTATTGGCCCTCCAATCTATCCTATCCATCCTATCAGGTTAACAATCTATCACACAGCAACTTTTTCTCACAGATAATTTTCTCAGTTTTACGTCAAACTCTTTTTTGTTCTGCACTTCCTTCACTAAAACTCTTCAGTCCTTCAGTCTATCCCTGACCACCATTTTAATCTGATGTTAATTTATTCAGTATCTACGTCCCATGTGTCAATGTCCTACACTCATTAATCCAAATGTGGACAGACACTAGTCTGAGAATCTCTTTTCGCTGCACCATTGTAAAACCAGTGTCCATCATCCAGCCACTATTTTGGGCCAGCGTGACACTGGTAATTTCTCGCTCCGTCCTCATCTTCCACTGAATCAATACGACTTGACAGGCTGACTCATTTGCCTGTCATTTTCCAAGATGCGATTTCTGAAATATGAATCAGTCAGACAGACTGTGGCTTAAGCCGCGCGACTCGGACCAACGCCGAAAGAAAACTATTGCTGCTTCTCCAATCTGCAGCCTTTAAAGCCAGCTTAGACAGACTTGGCTGCTCTTGAAAGACTTTTCTTCCAGTGGAGCAGAGGACAGACACAATTGAGAGAGAAAAAAAATGAGGAAAGAAGAAAAGAGCACTGGCATGTCTGGATACTTGCTTACAACATCCTCCACCTTTTTCCTCTCCTTCCTCCCCTGACAAGTCATTTATTCCTCCACTGAGTTCAAAACCATGCTGGGTTGAGGACTAAAAAAAAAAAGCTTATTACTGGCAGTGGACAACTTAACAGAGACCTTACCTCCCTACTCTTTTTGGGGATTGTGGAAAGAAGAAATATTTGGCCTTCAAAGAGCACAGAAAAATATTTGGTCAAAGTTAGTGTTAAAATCAGAGTTAATGAAGAAGGAAGGCGAATGAGAAGAATCTCCTCCATGTTCTTACACCTGTGGGTGATCAAAGAGACCACGAGGGGGTGAGAAAAGACACAGGTAATTAGAACGGGTGAAAAGGACAGAGTTTACGGAGTTAATTAATTGTCCAGGTAAATTAAAATGAGCTGAATTGTAATTAATCTTTCTGGATGTGCGGCTGAAATTGAAATTACGAATTCTTCTGCGAAAAACCGCACACGGCGACGGTGACCTCTGGTTCGAAGTGTGAGACTAAAAGGAGTCTAAACAAAAAGGAGGACGACAGGAGACTATTTATTTTCTTTTCCTCTGCCTGCCTCCCCTCTTTAACCACCAGTCCCTATCTGTGTACAGTAGCATCCACTCTGGGCCGCGGCTGCACGGCAGAAAATGATTTACTGCAGCTTTCAGCCTCACAGTGAGAGAGAGAGAGACATAAAGAGACACAGAGAGAGAGACAGAGAGAGAGAGTGCAAAGAAATGAGTCTTTGAGAGAAGCCCACTTTGGGAATCGTCTAACGCAGTTAAGACAAAGCGCTTTCTTCTTTCTCTCATTCTCTCTCCTGCATCTCTGTGATATTGGACTTTATTTAAGGAGAGCTGCAGAGAAAAGGTCAAATCCTTACATGCAGTGACCTTTTACAAGAAACAGAAGAGCACAAAACACAAAACTGAAAAATAATATATACTTTAAAAAAGAAAAAAATACACTAAAGTAGTCGGACTCAGCTGTAACGATTTCTTTCTTTTTTTTCCATTCTTGATTTATTGTGACTGTGTCAGACTGTGGCGGTGAATAAAGAGAACACCTTCTCCGCTCCATGTTTTATATTTAACTAAATGTCATCGCGGTCCCTAATGACTCATTTCCTCCTAATTTCCTCATTTTTCAAGTCTACGCTGACACACAAAAGCAACACCTGTTTGCTGTTAGTCGCTGTTCAGTACAGAACAATGGACGTGTGTAGGAAAAACAACAAGAGAGAGAAAAAAAATCAATTCAGAGATAAAGACAGTGGAGATGTTTAGCATGCAGCAGGTGAGTCAGACAGGACGCTAACGTTGCTCACCTGGCGGCTGTGGATTGATGCCAGAGAACGCAAACAGAGAGATAACAAAACACACACACACACACACACACGCAGGGGAACAACAAACCGAGCCTCAGGTAGACGAGACATCTGAGTCAGGCAACCAGGTGGAAGGGCAACAAAGGACACACACACACACAAACAAGATGATGTTTAATCCTTGAACAAACCAGAGTCTCTTACCTGGACTTTAATCTCGTTGTTGCTGTTGTCTGTTGCAGCGTTGATTCTTCCCTTTTGTAGCGCAGCTAAACGCTGCTGCTACCTGTTCTGTATCTTCTGCTTCTATCAGCTCACCTCAAAGCCTGAAGAAGGAAGGGGACAAAGACAGAGGAGAAAACATTTAAAAAATGTTTCATGGGGACTGGAGTTATCTCTACCAGCATCCCACATCGAACAGTCATTCAAGGAGACGGAATCTGTAGATTTCCAAGTTATCGTCTCCTCGAACGCTAAATGTTTATCTGTCTTTAACAGATTCTACAAACTGAGGCCTTTTAAAGTGTCAGTCCAAAATTAAATCTTTTGATACTTTTTTTTTGTTTGTTTTTCCAAATCCTTCACTAGAATTTAAGCGTAAACTTCAATTGCCCTTTCGTTGTTACACAGATATGGTTTGCATTCCTGTGTGGGCCTGTTGCTCCGTCTATCTCATTGTGCGTCTTTTGAAGACAAAGTTAACATGTCTTTGTTCTCTCCAGACAATGCTGATGGAGTGTGTGTGTGTGTGTGTAGGCAGTGTCTTATGTTCCAAAACTGAAAATGAAAACAGCTGTGACAGACAGGACTGTACTTTTTTTTTTTTTTTTTTTTTTTGCCATCTCATTTCTAGCACAGCTGCAGAGATAAAGCACCGCACAAGGATTAAAGAAATATTAGTGCCCGGGAAATAAAGAACAGTTTCCATCTGGGCCTTAAGACTTTTGTCGACAGTTACAGTAGTTACTGCCACAGCCCTGGAACTGTTATTTTTTGCCTTTTATGTGCCGACCTTGTCGACATCCTGCCATGGATACACCCAGTGTTATTGAAAAGGTCTTTATACACGATGGGATCACGAAGGTTTTTTTCACTCACAGTTGAATAAAGTAGTTGTACAAAGTACAACACAGTTGTCAAAGTAAATCCTTTTTGGGTTTTAGTGGCAGCTACAACGATTCTTTTGGGTCTAATTTTAATTCGTTTTTTGTGACTTCAAGACTACAACTGTGGTTGCTAGATTTTTGTACGTTTTTTCTAAATTCTTTCAAAAATATTTCACGAATTTTCCATCCCGTCCTTGCACAGAAACACAAAAAAACACAACTTTTTAATAATATAGTTCTTAAACCTGTTACTGATGATATTTTTGAATATCACCAGAAACTTTAAACTTTCTGGGAATTTTTAAGAATAAAGACAGAATGAGATGAAATATAGCAGACGATTTTTGTGTAAACATTTTTTTCACACCAAAATAACACTGGAATAAAATAGTTTTAACAAGGTTTCATAAGATGTATAACAACAGCCATTGTGTGTGTGTGTGTGTGTGTGTGTGTGTGTGTGTAAAACTGACAGAACCTCTTTATTACTGTCAACAGACGAGACGGCCCTGCTGCCCTCCCATTCATTTTAATCTCTATTGTTAATGATAACCCTCCTCCCTCCCTCCTTCTCTCCCTCCCTCCCTCTTTCTGTCGCAGACACACACACACACACACACAAACATTCTCTCTGTCTGTCTGTCTGTACCCCTCCTCCCGCACCCCTCCTGCACGGTGTCAGCCCTCCCCAAAACCCCAGCAAAGCGGCAA